TTTCAGTGTAGATTTAAGCTCAAAACCATGTGAGCTGGATGGCAAGACTTGTGCACAAAAAATAATGATAAGCAACAGCTCATTAGGTTTTGGTGTTGTGGGAGCAGGCCTTTATGCTAGCATTAAATACTTCCTGCTTTGCTGGATTTGTGTTAGAAAGTGCCCATTAATTAATAGATTTTAGGAATATATAGCATAATCTTTAACTGTATATCCTAGATGAGGATATTTTTGTCTATTTAAATCACAGGTGTTATTACCAGAAGTTCTTGTAGCCTATGTAGAGTTGGCTAGCCTATGTAGAGTTAGCCTGTTGGGTTGGTATGATTGTGTTAATTGTGTCAAATCCAGAATTGACCCATTAGCTTCTGATTATTTGGAAAATACACACAGGCACCACAAGTTTAGCTGACAACTTTTTGCTTATGGTCAAATAAATATGAACTTGTTCAATGTTAATATGCGAGGATGTCACTCTCACCGTGACCGCTGGGAGGCGCTCTCTGTATCTCTATAATGACCACAGGCAGATCACTGACATCCAGCGGTGACAGAAGAACACAGCAACAGCCAACAGTCAGCTCGATGAAAGGCCAATCAATAGGTGAAAAAGAAAGCCCCCTAATACCCTCCTGGGCAAGTTTATCTAATTAAGATGCATATGAAACACGAACCAGAGTAAATGGCCCACGGTAAAAAAAAATTCCATTTGGGCTTTGAGTAGTCTAATTAAAAAAAAAAAAGATTTGCATTTCCTGAAGGAAATACCAGCGATTGCAAATCAGTGCCACTTCAGCACACATAAACAACAGCGATGTTTTGCAGCGTTGAGCTATGAATAAGTAGGCTATATTCAAGGTAGACTAATCATAATTCAGTATGCAAAACAATGCAAAAAAAAAAAAATAAGTATGCAAAAAGTGTAATGATGTCTGTCGGTTACTACATACTGAGTGCTTAATATTCTTTGTTAGCCAATGGGAGATGTACAAAATGTAAAAATTAATTAGAGAGGTAAAGAAGGATAGCCTATTTTTCCGGCTGTTTTTTTTTTTTTTTTTGATCCCTCAACCTACTTTAAAGAAGAAAATGAATTTCAGTTGTGTATTTTGTTTTATACTGACTCCTACTTTTCAGTCATAATATTGTCAAGTAATTGCATTTTTTTTTTTTTAAATAATAACTTGGTAATACGATTTTAAAAAAAAAATCTAACTTCTGGTTTTTAATATAGGCGTAAATAGGCTACATATACATAGAAAGATTTTTAACAAATTTTATTACAACCAAAGATAAATTTTACCTAACGGTTGGAATAATTTGAATGAATGAATGTATAATAACACATGCAGATGAGTAACAACACAAAGCTGTGGCTTTGTAAACCTTGTTGGTTATTTTTATTGACGCCTATTAAACTGATTACGTAGACCATGAATCCATTTCGCTTCCCTCTCCCACACACACACACAATAGCATAATGCATTCCAACTGCACATCCATACACACAGATGTTTACATTCAAAGCAGATATACAAGGAACAATGTGGTGCACTCACAGAGCACTCATCCATATAACCACACGACTCTGAACACACTGTGCACACACGTCCAGATGCACGATCATGATCCATTCACTCTCAGCGAATGAGATGTCAACATATATTCACTGATATAGTTCAAATTCTGTTGAGGGGTGGGAAACACATTAAACGCATACATAACCACAGATAGAAAAGCAAATGAAGCCTGGCCGGTTTTAACATGAAAAAATCAATATTGCATTGGCAAAGCTGTTCCTAGGTCATTTCGTCCTGTTGTTATTCCTAAAAATACATATACTGATGTTAACCAACTGATAGCCAGCTTAGACAATTACCTGTGGCATATACTTGTGCCATTACCTGATGCAAAAATATAATAGGCCTATGCTATTCTTTTTTTGCAGCATAAATGGACAGTGCTTTCCGTAGATTTGGACTGGTCGGTTTTTAATGATCAAGGGTTGCTTCCCCAAAACTGGATACCTTGCTTAGACTATATAAATATGATAAGATATGATGGTACATCGGTCACATGATATGCCTTTAGTGCCAACCGATTTCCATACAATAAATAAATAAAAAATGGAAAAGAACTGACACGCAGACAACTTAAAATTCATAAAGACACACAAAACTGGATCACATTGACAGAATTCATGACAACTGTTGAGCAGACAAGCCATTTGTACAGAGAGTGTCCCTCTTTCAGATATATTACGCTGGATCAGTTGCATAACAGCTGCACGGAAGCCCAGTGACAAAGCAGTGCTGTACAAAGAGATCAATTTCATATTTTATACTGTATCATAATCATAATTAGAGACACATTGATGTGAATGTACATATTTCGTGATGGTGCGAGCAAGGTCCGTGGCCTAGACAATGGCTTATTTTGCTTCAAATACCATTCAATTTTCAATTTCCTCTTTAGGTGGCAAGGTACAGCACATTTTCCTCATCAGATAATGTCCAGAGGAAGTCTTTCTTTCGCTCTCATTGCAGTAATACTGGCGTACAAGCAAGGGAGAGCTCTTTTCTGCAATACTCCTTTCTTCTTAAAGGTGAAGTGTGTGATTTTTGGGGGGATTTTGAAATATTTTCTTCTATTCCAGCGTTATTCTTAAAAACTAAAGGGGGGTTTTTGCTGCGATGCCATAGTAGAACCATTTTTGGCTCACCAAAGAGCCTTTCAGTAAACGGTTCTTAAAAGAACCATTTTTCTTAGTGTGACATTTTAATAATCGAAAGAACCGTTTGTGGAATGGAATGATTCCATGGATGTTAAAAGTTCTTCTTGAAAACATAAATGCTAAAAAAAAATAAGAACCTTTATTTTTAAGAGTGCATGTAGGGAAAATTTGAATTAAAAGCAACTTCGGTTCAACCAATGGTGTGAGTTTGGGGCGTGGCTAACTGTTTGATTGGCAGGTGAGGGGGAGGGTTCAGGAAATCTTGTCATTATTTTTGCATTTCCGTTCAGTGATGCTAGTGACAGAAAATTTACACATCTTTAATTTCATTTTTAAAACCAACAAAGCACGCATGTTTGCTTGTCTAAAAGAAAAGTGAACTTTGCCATAGATTATGTTGCAATTCCCCCAAAATATGTATTTTTAATACCTCAGACATTCAATTCTTTCTTACACATACATATGTGCACCTAATGGCCATTTTTTAATCCCCAGGAGTAATATACAAATAAATTATTTTCAATAAACCAAAATTCACAAATAAAATAGTCAACGACATTCACTTGGTTGGCTTCAACCAAAAGTCTTGCAGCAACAGAGAATCTGGATGAACATCCTTTCACATTTTGGATTGATTCCCGTTCCCTTTGGCATCTAAGAGGGAAACTCTACATTGTTGGAGACAACAGTCACGGGAATCCTCCGCTAGTCAGATGCTCTGGTATGTTTGAGCTGCCAAAAGGGTGAACCAAGGCCAGATTTAGATGTGTAAACGAACGCAGAAATGTTTTACAATCACGATCAGGCATTAGGGGCTGAAGCTCGACGTTATTTAGCATGCAGCATTTCTATGGAGAGTGAAAATGAAGTTGTCTATAGATAATGACGCAGGGCTGGTGAGCAACGGTAGTTACTTACGGTCATAAAATCATCATGAGTCTGTCCGCTCAAGGAGGTAATCATGTTACCCGATTTTTGTAGCCATGCATACTTTGTACGCATAGGTTACACATGCGCCTTGAATTTGTTTTGCATTAATCAGTTGTTCCACAAGGTGGCAACACTGTCCCGGGCCATTGTTTCACAGTAGAGAGTGAAACTAAAAATGCACATTAAACATGCAAAGCTGCTGCATTTACTTTAAACTGTGCCACTCTGAGACACTGAAAACACCTGATCATGAGCTGCTCGCGTGTAAATGAACACAGTGCTGTGTTTCACTCTAAAGTAAACATGCACAACGGACTACGCACTTATTTAAAATACACACTGTGGTGCGCGTTAACTCACTGTCAGAGAGAAGAGAGAGTAAGAAAGTGCAACTGGTACTGATGTATCAATACTGGAGGAGCATCTAAGAGGGAAACTCTACATTGTTGGAGACAACAGTCACGGGAATCCTCCGCTAGTCAGATGCTCTGGTATGTTTGAGCTGCCAAAAGGGTGAACCAAGGCCAGATTTAGATGTGTAAACGAACGCAGAAATGTTTTACAATCACGATCAGGCATTAGGGGCTGAAGCTCGACGTTATTTAGCATGCAGCATTTCTATGGAGAGTGAAAATGAAGTTGTCTATAGATAATGACGCAGGGCTGGTGAGCAACGGTAGTTACTTACGGTCATAAAATCATCATGAGTCTGTCCGCTCAAGGAGGTAATCATGTTTTAAAAGATTCAGCATGTGCAGCTTTGTTAAACTGAATCTTTTGTAGCTTATTGATTTTTATTGCATATGACTGAGCAGACTCTTGGTGCTGATAGCTTTTGGATCTGGATCTCTACATATTTTCTCGGAGGATAAAAATTCGGACTAAATTGGAATTAACGTCTCTGTTGCTATAATTACTCGATTGCTGAAACCGATACCAGGCCTGTAAGGAACAGATGGTGTGCTACCCCCAACCGAAACCTTTCCTTTCACGAATGTCATTATAAACTCAAGTTCTGCACATTACATCCAAATCACATGAGAGAAAAGACGGCATAAATCAAAGCATTGTCCAGGATCATAAATTAAATATGTTTCAGAAGAAAGTTTGGAGAAGCTCCTCGGATCCCAGAAGTTTATCTGACTGTTCAATGGAGACGGCTCTCGCTTCGGTTGCATCCCATGTTCTATTTGGTTTCATTAGACTTTCAAAAAGCTCCTTTAAAAACACATTTTACCATCGTGCTGTTCTGAGGTGAGAAGGGGAGAAGGAATCGTTTGAGTAGTTTAGTCTCATATCATGGCTCATTTCTTGACGGATTGCTGATTATTCACAACACTTCTCGCTCAGGGCTGTGATTGTGTTCCACTGGAGGAAAGTAGGCGGGTTCTTTCTCTTCCCGACCCCCTGCGCTGGAGTAAAACCCCGCCCTCTCCACACTCCACCCACTCGCAGCGGTCGGTTCCGCCCTCTGAGCGCCGAGAATTCTGTCTGGTTGGTGTTCTAGGAGGGCGACTGTTCTTCTCATCTAGCGTAGAGCAAAAAAAGGCTATAGGAGAGTGGAAGCATGCTGGAATAATTCATGACATGCGTCCGTTCTTACCTGAAAAAGTTTGCGCCATGGGCTGATCGTGAGCACTGAGCAACTGGGCTTGAATCGTTTCAACAACTCGTCTAAACCTGCGACTTGGACCTAAAAAATCAAATTCACACACACACATACTCATATAACTTCAGTGATGTGTAGTGGACCTCTGAAATGAGGTATGTGATGAATGGAAATCATTTCCATGTTAAAGGTGACATATCATGAAAATATGACTTTTCCAGGTTTTAAAGTCCGCGTGAACCAGAAGTTGCTGCCGACTTTATTTCAGTGTAGTGACGTATTTCCAGCTGAAACGGAATATTGAATAGAGGGCATGGTTTTATTTTTGCGCTCCTCCTCTCTGTCTCTCACTCATAGCAACCTAACGGTTGGAGGGGTGTGTTTAAGGATATTCTGCCCAAGCCGTCAAACTGACATCATCAGAGAAGGAATGCCATTCCAGAGCAGAAGCAAATGTTCAGATTTTGATTAAAGATTACCAAGACAAAAAATTTTTTTCAGCGGATTAACGTGCACGGATTAATTGTTCACATCAAGACTAGCAATGTGCGCTAATAAAGCAAATAAAGTCAATTTTGATTTCATGCGGACTTTAAGTGCTATAATCAGGTCCCCGGTGCATCTACCAACTAAGGAAACTTGAAAAAGATTAACCCAGTAACTTTGTTTAGGTAAGCCTTTTTCTGCAAGCGTCTGAGAAAACGAGTGTGTCTGATTTAGCTCCCTTGGTGACGTGGCAAAGGGATCTCATTATAATATTACCGCCCCTTAATCTGTAAGTTCACACCCACGGCGTCGTCATTGTGTTTTCGCAAGCGACAACGGTGTACCAGCTCTAATGCCATGGCCAAAGTTTGAGCAAAACATGCTAACTGTTCTGTTATTGGCTGCACAGGCGAGCACAGAACGCTATTTAGATCTAAAATAGACATGCGATTTATTTCCCAGCAGTTTACCTTCACAGACATAACCGAACATAACTGTTTTTAACGTAAACTTGTGTGTGAATGAGAACTTAGTTTAGTACTCACATGCTGTGACAGCCGCTTTCTGTCCGTGTGCTTCGGATGTGTGCTCTCAGAAAACCATATATCAAGTTTATATTAAGTTTAAACTCATATGGTTTAAACCGCATGATTTCAGCGCGATAAACATGATAATCAGAACCAAAACAGATGTTTTATAGCAAGTACGAGCTGTAATGGCGCAGCTCTATTCTGGAAAAGGGGGCGGGGAGCAGCAGCTCATTTGCATTTAAAGAGACAGGCACGAAAAACTGCGTGTTTCTGATTCTACTCAAAATAGGCATTTTCAAAATTATATAATAAATTATCTGTGGAGTATTTTGAGCTGAAACTTCACAGTCACATTCTGGGGACACCAGAGACTTATATTACATATTGTAAAAAGGGGCATAATATGTCTCCTTTAAAGGCTTATGGAACAATATTGTATCTGACACTTGCTATTTATTATTTATCATACTTTATATTTCAATCAAAGTCTTATGAACATTTAAATAAAAAATAAAATACTGCTCACTGAAAACACGTTGTTTGGTCAAATAAATGTTCTAGTTCCATTTATTTGAATAGAAATTATTTCCATTATAAAGTCTAATGTAACAACATTTCATCTTCACTTGCTATAATAAATGATATAATCGTTCTCTATGAAATCAAAGTTTCATGAATTTTTTTTTTCAAAATATTTTCTAGAAAAATTCATTAAAATAGAAAATGTAAGTTTAAAACTAGCAAGTGTAAATGTTCAGTTACATTTAATTGTAATGGAAACAATTTTCACCATTTTATTAGTGGCTATAACATTTATATAACAACTTATATAATCATACTTTTTATTAAAATCAAGGTGTCATTAACATTTTTAAATATTTTTAGAAAATATTTAAAGTACTGCAAAAAAAAAACTGCAAAAAATGCATTAAAATAGATCAAGTTTAAAAGTAACACATGTTGTTTATGCTAATTTAAATATTCTATTCCATTTAATGGAAATAATTTAAGGCTAATGCAACCACTGTATCTTAAACTTTCTATAATATTCATAATAGTTTATATAATGCTACTTTTTATTAAATTTCAAGTCTCATGAACATTTTAAAATATTTTTATATAATTGCATATTGCTTCAAAATTCTGCTACATTATGCACAATAATAATGCATTCAAAATGACATGCATTCAAATAGACCATGCAAGTAATAAGTATACATTGTGAAAGCTTTCATTTTTTAAAGGGGTCATATGATGCTTTTTTAAAGATCATTATTTGGTGTATTTGGTGTAACAGAATATGTTGACATGCTTTAATATTCAAAAAACACATTATTTTTCAAATACTGTACATTATTGTAGCTCCTCTATGCCCCGCCTCTCTCAAACGCTTCGTTTTCTACAAAGCCCCCTCCTTAATGAGCCGTTTTAGGGGGGCGTGGCAGAGTCTTAACTTTGATAAAAAATATCTCTTTGGTTTTGAGACTTTAGTCTTTGCAACTTCAGGGATCTTATCTATGCACAATCAGCTTGTAACACTCCAAAGAGAAAGGAAAACTTGAAATCGCATCATATGACCCCTTTAATTCTCTAGGGAGGCAAAAGAGATGATGCCTCCTGATGAAACTTTATTCACTGTGTCACTGTTGGACAATGTAAAATTGAGTGAACAATATTTCATTTCATGTTTTGTTTTGTTTCTGTACCATAAATTAAACGCTCTGATACACTTTAATGGAAGTGGACAAACACATCATTATCAAACAGATAGCAATTCTTCTCACCCGATATGAGGCTAAAAGTTACACTGTAGATCCCATAATCCTTCTGTCCGTCCCTGTCTCTCTCCCGCTCTCGTTCTCTTTCCCCCTCAGAGAAGGAGATGTCTACCTGGAATTTGACGGGTTTCTGGAAGACAGACGGACCTCCAGAAGTCTTATACTCCGCTCGGAAACTCGTCTGAGAGATTACGCTGTGACTGAGGGAGGGAATCTGAAGACAACAGAAAACATTGATACATTCAAAAGTCTGGGATTCATAGGATCCCTCTCTCTTTATATAAGAAATGAATAGATTTATTCAGCAAGGATGCATAAAATTGATCAAAACTGACAGTTAAAAGCATTCATAATGTTGCAAAAGATTTCAAATAAATGCTGTTCTTTTGAACTTTCCATTCATCAAAGAATCTTGGGAAGAAAAAAAAAAATGAAGCAGCACAGCACTTTTAAACATGAATAACAATAAGAAATGTTTCCTGAGGAGTAAATCAGCATATTAGAATGATTTCTGAAGGATCGTGTGACACTGAAGACTGGAAAAATGATGCTGAAAATGTAGCTTTGATCACTGGAATAAATGACATTTTATTATATATTAAACTAGAAAACAGTTATTTTTAATTGTAATAATATGAAACAATATTGCTGTATTTTGTGATCAAATAAATGTAGCATTGTTGAGGATAAGAGACTTTCATAATATTACAAAATCTCACTGACCCCAAACGTCTGAACGGTAGTGTATATGCGATCCATTTAGTTTATTAAAATGCCTAATCATGCACAGACCAGCTGACTCACAGAGAGGAAGGCATGGACGATATCCGCTTTAATGGAACTAAGAGGTTTGTCTCTGATGACCACAAAAATCTGCTCTTCTTTCTCCAGACTGATGAAATTCCCAAACCAGGACCTTTTAGCCAGCCTGTCGGACCACAAACACAGACAGACAGACACTTGGATAATCTGTAAGACTCATCGCAGTGATGCAGCACACTGAAGAATTAAAAGCTGGAGATCATTATCGTTAATATATTTCCCTGAATAGCACATGCAAGTCGCCATGACGTCTATGAGCATTGTCATCTGGCACATTTAATTTTTGGGATCTGCAGGTTGGCATTTCAACATTCCCTGTTGGATGTTTGATACCGAAGGGCACTGTTTGCAACATTTATTATTTAGAATGTATGTGAATCGAATTGAGATGTTTCTTTTTCATATGCAAACTGGGTTTAACTGAAAAGCACAGTAGCAAAAACGGTCAGAGATGAAAGGGTAAATTATTACTGTTTCTGGAGAAAAACACTTTTCCTCAGGAAATAAATTAATGAAACATAAAAATGTACAACATACAGTGAGTCCTTTCAAATAGAATGCAATGCTTTCCAAATGACTTTTCCAGATTATTTGACAGAGCTCTTGGCAATATACATGTGCTTATTGGGTCGGCAAGTGTTTCTTACTCTGGGCTTGATTCTGGTGTTAAACTGGACATGTCCTCTGAGGTTGGCACTGTTTGGAAGGTAAGAGTAAGAATGAAACATAGATCGAATACAACCTGACATTGATTAAATTCAATTATTTGACAATTATTTTATATTTCAGAGGTTTTCAAACTGAGATCCAGGGACCCCCAAAGGGCTGCAAGCAGTGTTATTTTAGTATCATAAATTATTATAGTTTTTTTTAAATAGGTTATTTTGAATTACATTATATTTTTATTATTTTTTAATTTTTACTTAATGTTTTAGTAATTCTTTTGTGTTTTTGTAATATTTTTATTAAATATGTCTATATATTTATTAATTTTTATTTATTAGTTTTAGTTATTTACTTCAACTTAAACTAGAAATGTTATATTGGCAACTAACTGAAATAAAATAGAAACTAATATATAAAATATATGAATATTATATAAAACATTATATAAAATCAATTTTTTCATATTTTATTTTTATTTCAGTTAACATTTATTATATTTCAAGCAACTATTTTTTTTCATGGTTTTGTTTTAGTTTTAGTTTATGTTAATGATAATAACCCTGGCTGCAAAGTGACCTGCAGAAAAGGTCATAGAAATGAAATACATTTGTAATCAATCAATCAATCAATAGACTTTGATTATTATGTTTCATTCTGGATTCCAGTGTCATAAATAATGGGATTAATCATGCAATCAATTTTTTTATTCTATTGACAGCCACAGTTTGATGTTTTTCTTCAAGTGAGCACATCTAAAAGCACTCTAATAATAGAATTAGTACTCTTATAGCAGAACAATGACACAGTGTCAGCTTAATAGAAGGGGAAAAAAATATAATAAAATATAATATAATAACATTCTTATTTATCACATCAAAAAAGGTTCTTTAGGGCTCCATGGCATCAAAAAGTTTGAAAACTTCTTCTCTAATTGATGAAATACTTAAAAAGGAAAGACATAGGCACCCACCCTGCATCTTGCGGCGGTGGAACCGCGGCGACCCCAACAGGTTGTTCTTTAGTGAGTTGAGGCGTGTCCTCCAGTGGGCAGAGCTACTGGCCACCATGCCGCCGCCTCCCCCTGGACTAGAGGGTGGGGTCAAGGAGAGTGAGCCCACGCCCACACTTCCTCCCTCTGCTCGGGAGGAAGAAGAGGAAGAGGAGGAGGAGGGTGGGGTAGCGGTGGGGGGGTGGGGACTTCAGTTTTTACACGTACATGAGGGTTCGTGTACAGTGCGCATGACGCACATTTTTTCACCAGAAGAGTGCACGCGTACTGTATGCGCACCACCCGATTTTTGTAGCCATGCATACTTTGTACGCATAGGTTACACGTGCGCCTTGAATTTGTTTTGCATTAATCAGTTGTTCCACAAGGTGGCAACACTGTCCCGGGCCATTGTTTCACAGTAGAGAGTGAAACTAAAAATGCACATTAAACATGCAAAGCTGCTGCATTTACTTTAAACTGTGCCACTCTGAGACACTGAAAACACCTGATCATGAGCTGCTCGCGTGTAAATGAACACAGTGCTGTGTTTCACTCTAAAGTAAACATGCACAACGGACTACGCACTTATTTAAAATACACACTGTGGTGCGCGTTAACTCACTGTCAGAGAGAAGAGAGAGTAAGAAAGTGCAACTGGTACTGATGTATCAATACTGGAGGAAAATTAGTATTCAAGTATTCTGTTTCAATAAAAAAAAAATCGATATTTTTGACAACACTGCTGCCGAGAGACTAATTTTTGGATGAACTATCTCTTTAGTAGAGAAAAAGTTTGGCAGACAGGTACTTACCCTGGGACTACTTAGAGGACTAGATGAGAGGCCCGTTGATGCTCCGCTTACAGATTGAGATCTATACAGGAGTGTGGAAGACAAGAATCAGTAGTGCTAAATTCCAAAGTTCCATATATGCATGAAAATGTGAATGCTACTGCATGCGTACCTTTGGCTGTACGTGGAGGTGTCCAGCGCTCTGCGTGGGGGTGTGGGAGAGCCCTGCTCCGTCACACTCAGCACCTCCAGACTCTTCCTCTCTGGCCGGCAGCGGCCGTGACGCGTCAACATGGGTGAGTCTACACGCTTTCGTGGACGGTCTACTGTATATAGAAATACAAAACACAGAGTTTACAGAGCGGTGTGCCTGTAGCTCAAAACAGTAGAGTATAGCACTAGCAACAGCAAGGTCATGCGTTCAGTTACCAGGGAATGCACAAAATCTATACACTCTTAAAAATAAAGGTTCCAAAAGGCGGGTTTTGCAGCGAATGCCATAGAAGAACCATTTTCGGTTTCCCAAAGAACCTTTCAGTAAACAGTTTTTTTTTTAAATTTGAAGAAACTTTTTCCACTATAAAGAACCTTTTGTGGAATGCAAAGATTCCATGAATGTTAAAGGTTGTTCATGGAATCAGATGCTAAAAAAGAACCTTTATTTTTAAGAGTGTACAATGAATGAAATGCACTGTATTTTCCAGAAAAAGAAAAATAGTCCCCAGCAAGCTCCCTGTGCAAGCAGGTGGTCACGTTGGTTATGTTGACAGAAGTTAGCCTATTTTCAGGCGATGTGTAATATCATTGCGCCTGCTGCACCCATGGTACAGCAGCAAAGTTCCTTGACAGCATGCTCATGTTACTTCAAAACAATGACTTGAGTATGATGCAATAAAAATAATGTGTTTGAGTCAGAGCTGCTGTCTGGGAGGCTTACCTCAACTCCTCTATAACTGTAATTTCCAAAATTATTAACACCAAAATAGCTACTTAAAACCTAGGCAGCTTTTAGTTTTAGAACCAATGAAAAGTTCACTTCATATGCCATGGCAGAGATACAGTTGTCAAAACAAGAATAGCAATGCAATGCAACAAGAAGTATTATAAATAGGAAATAACAGAACAGGTTGGAGATGTTGTATGTACTGTTGCAACATATGTTTAAGTGTAATGATTTATTTATGACAACACTATACATTTGATGTTTATCCAAAGCAACTTGCATTCCATTGAAGGTAAACAAGTTTGTGCATTTACTGTGGGAACTATAGTGAGACACTCAAGAAAAAAAAACAACAACAACACTGACAACTGAATATTGCTCTTTGATAATTATAATTAACAAATAATGCTGGATCAATACCAGCCTTTGCAGTGGCTTTTTGTTTCTTGAAGGCCACTGAGGAGGTGAACGTCCTCCGGTAGGAAGCTGTCATGATAAAGTGAAGTTAGCTCATTTGAGGACTTGAAGTGAAGAAAAGATACCCAGGGGGAGACCTTTTCTCTAAGAGTCAAGTTTTAAATAGGAAAAATATAGAAACTCTTTGGTCATTTTTGAGCGAGATGCTAACGGACTAATCAGATTCAATGATCTATGCTAAGCTACAGCTAAAAGTGCTACCGCCAGACCCGGAGATCGGCTGAATGGATTCGAAAACGGTAAAACTCAACTGTTTAACTCTAGGGGAGTTGGAAAATGAGTCTATTTTCAAAAATAGTGGAGTGTTCCTTTAAAGGGATAGGCCACCCAAAAAATGAAAAATCATTTACTCACCCTCATGTTATTTCAAACTTGTATGATTGACTTTTCTGTGCAGAACACAAAATAAGATATTTTGAAAAATGTTACCAAAACGTTTCAGTTCCCACTGACTTTTTGTCCATATAATGAAAGTCAATAGGAACAGAAACTGTTTGGTTACCAACATTCTCCAAAATATCTTCTTTAATGGTCCAGAAACAAAAGAAATGCATTCAAGATTGAAATGACAGAGGGTGAGTAAATGACAGCATTTTTATTTTTGGGTGCTCTATCACTTTAACATTTCACACCTGACCTGCATTTTGCTTTGGATAAAAGTGTCTGGCAAATGTATAAATGTAATACACATGGTTTAACATGAGTGAGAAACTTCAAATTCTTCCTCTTCTAATTTGTATAAACTGTGCTTTATTTAACTGTGTTCATGAAAAAGACACATACCAATGTCATTTCTGGGAGGAAGATCCTCATCCTCATAGCTAGGATAGCGCTCTTTGCGGTCCAACAGGAGATAATAGATCATCTTTTCCTGGTTATCTCTGAGGAAAAAAGCGAGAGATAGAAGAGAGAAAAACAATGTTAACCCTATGTATGCCAATTTTTAAGGCCTCTAAATTATCAACATGAGCAAAACCTTGGTGAAAAACCTGTTGTACACAATTTACTACATGCCTTCTGTAATCTGATTGATAAATCATACTTTTTTAAAGCAAGTAAAAGGGGTTTTAGTACAATTGTAAAAATGCAATGTATGTAAAAACTTTTTTTTTTAGTTTTTAGAAGGTTCAATACACTGTTCCATTTTAAAAAACAAAAACAAACAATCAAATCGGACTATTATATCGTACGTCAGGCTTGACAGGGTTAAAGATTAACTAGATTTTTATAAAACAAAAACTGCTGATGTTACACTCACTCTTCACACTGCAGATCTTGGGCCAGTTTAACCCGATCCCTGAAACAGCCCAGAGAATACATGCTGTCCAGCACATCTGGGTCCAGCTCTGTCAGAGACATGATCCGTCCCATGCACACGCGCCTCGGAGGCGGCTGCTCCGGACACGGCTCATTGCGTCCAGCTCTTCATCACACACAAACAAACGCACATACCAATGTGAGCTGCTTGCACAAATCATCTGCAATTTGGGCTGCTATTAAAGACGCGAGATGAAATCATTTCATATCGTTTCAATACAAACAGAGATTTCTTCATGAAATTCATCCATAAATACACATAATACACTTTCACTGAATCTCTGTAGATTGATTACAGTGATAGAGAGAATATAAATACCGGTAATCAATACTTACTGATACCAGGCATGTTTCTGGATAGCCTCTAGCTGCAGAAGGACAAGAGATGGTGTATTTAATAGAGTCTGTTCACAGGCAGATGGCGAATCAACTGCTGCACAAAATGATTCACTGTTATAAAGGTTTTCAAAACAAGTACACTGCTGATCAAAATGGTGTAAATGCAATAAGAACTCAGCCCAAACATGCATACAGACACCTTTTATTAAATGTAATCTACAAATCATGAAATTCCCTTTAATGACATGATGTCCCTTACCAAAAAGTAGTATACTTCAAGTTTATTTTAGTAAGTATACTTAAGTAAAGTTCAAGTATATTTTTAAGTATACTTTATGTAGTAAGTATACAAATATCAGTGTACTAGTAGTATACTTGTAAGTGTACTATTTCAATACTCCTTGGGACTAAATTGGCCCACTTTCTAATATATAAAAGTATACTTTTAAGTATAACAGTAGTAAACTTTGAGTACACAACTAGTTTAAATCAAAATGTTTAGTTTGTACTGCAACTACACTAAAGTGAACTTATAGGTATACTGATAGTTTACTAATTAAATACTTGTAGTAGCATTTTTAGTACACTTTGAAGTATAGTCTAAGTAAACTACTAGTTTAGTAGTTCTATACTGCAAGTATACTCGTAAGTTTTCTTTAAGTGAACTTTACATCATACTTTAAGTATACTACTATGTCCCTATTTAGGTATTAATTTGTATATATTTTGTTACATGAATATCTGAACATACAAAACATCAAAAGAACAGGGTATCTGCTTGTAAACAAAAACATTTTATTCTATACTAATAGCACACTTGAATAAACTTCTTTTTCGTAAGGGGTAACAAAGCTTAGTTTGGTGGTATTACGTGACTTGGCCAGTTTAATACCCACTTCAAACCACTGAATCGAAATAAATGATTGCTGTTCTTTTGAACTTTCTTTTCAAAATCCTGAACAAAAATCATCACGGTTTACACAAAAATTTTAAGCAGCAACTCTTTTCAACATTGATAATAATCAGAAATGTTTCTTATGCAGCAAATCAGCATATTAGAATGATTTCTGAAGGATCATGTGACACTGTGACATGTGATGCTGAGAATTCAGCTTTGCGTCACAAGAATAAATTAGATTTTAAAACATATTTAAATGCTGTGGAAGTTTGTTTCCACCGCTGGATAAAAAATAAAAAAGTTCACAATTCAGACTCAAAATATCTCAAAGTTGCAAGATATAAACTCAGAATTATGAGATATAAATGCAGAAATGTGAGATATAGACTCGCAATTCTGAGAAGAAAAGTTTGAATTGTGGAATAAAAACTCACAACTGCGAGAAAACAGTCAGATTTGTGAGATAAAATGTCACAGTTACCTTTTTTATGTTTTATTTTGTGTCAAAAACAAACAAACAAACAAAAAAGAATTATGAGATTTAAATGCAGAATTCATTTGTAAACTCAATATGTAAACTCAAAGTTCTGAGAAATAAACTTAAATTGCGAGATAATCTTGGTAATCTTGAAATCGCGAGAAAGAAATCTGAACTGTGAGATAAAAATTAACTTTTTAACTTTTTTTATTCCATGGTAGAAACTGGCTTCCTCAGAAAACAGTTCGTTTAAATTGTAATAATATTTCACAATATTGCTGTTTTTTCTGTATTTCGATCAACTATATGCAGCCTTGGTGGACATAAGAGACTATATTCAAAAATATAAAAAAATGTACCAACCCTAAACCTTTGTAGTAATAAACATAGACCTAAATCCATAAAACACATATTAAGTCAATTAAACTTTGACATGTTTATAGCTAACTAACCACCACAGTAATGAGGGCCTGAAGGCAAGAAGCCATATGTACAAATTATCCATCTAGGATCATCCATTTGCAACATTTTGCTTTGCATTTGCAACAAGCGTTTGCTTCTGCATTTCTGTACTTGTGTAGAGTATGTTTCTCACCACATCCAAGCAAACCAACGAGAAAGCTTAATCACAGTACTCCCTCACCGTGAGTCTTTGTTCAGGGTTGACCTCGATCATGCCCCGCAGCAGAGCCTGGCAGTCGGGTGGGATGAAATGGGGCATGTGGAACACTCCACTCTTCACCTTCTCTAGCAGCTGCCGCAGGTTATCATGGTCGAAGGGCAGCGCGCCCTGAAGACAGCGGACAGAAAGCCCCAGATACAAAGACGCAGATGGTAGTGATATGCAAGGAGCGTTTCAGTTATTTGCTTAACAGCCTGTGAGCTAAAAATGAGTAGTAAGTGATAAGTGGGGGAATGTAAAATGCTCTCCGACAAGCTGAGAGAAACAGAGGGAGCTGAAGCGATTTCCTCACCACTAGCAGAGCGAAGAGAATGACTCCACAGCTCCATACATCAGCCCGTCGGCCGTCATATTTCTCACCCTGCAGAAGAAACCAAAGGTGGTAGTAAGGTCAATGGTTCACCTTCAGACAGAATGATGCTCTAAAACATACAGGTTACTTTTTAGATCTATACACCTACCCTGATAACCTCTGGACATGCATAATGAGGAGATCTGCAAATAGTTTGGGAAAACAGAATATGGATGGGTGTGAGAAAGTATAGCCTGTTTAAAATAACATCGCTGTTTCATTTACAAACAACTCTGTGGCATTTATTTAAATCTGGGTCAAATTTAGGCGAAAATGCAAAAGCACACCCCTGAGCTTAAGAGGTTAAATGAAACTGAAAATATAATTAAACAATAAGGAATAGGAAGCTATAGTAAGTTGTGAATAATTATGTTGGCTTGAAAAGCCAGTACTGATCTATTATTCAAGCTTCTTCTTCTTCTAAGACTAAATTGTTAAAAATGAATGTAGCCTTCGAGCTTTAACCTTCAAATTCGGCACATATCTTCAGGATGTTTCATCTCAATGTGCTAAAACATACTAGGAACAAGCTAAAAATGCTAGGACATGCTAAAACATGCTAGCAACATGTTAAAACGGGCTAGCTTCATGTTAAAAATGTTAGCAATCCCTAATACAGTGCTAAAACATTCTAGCTGTTAGGAGGGCATGCTAAAACTTGCTAGTTACGTGCTAAAACATGCTAGAAGCATGCACATGCTAAAACATGCTAGCTATGTGCTGAAACATGCTAGCAACAAGATAAGATGTGCTGGAAATTAGATGAAACATGGTAGCAATGTAAACATGCAAACATGCTAGCAATATCATGCTAGCTTCGTGCAAAAATGTTAACAGCACCTAACAAAATGTTAAAACTAACAAGGTGATAAAACATGCTAGAACATGTTATATGCTAGCAACTAGGGTTGCAAAGGGGTGGAAAATTTCCGGAAACTTTCCAAAAATCCCTGGAATATTCAAAAAAAAAATCCTGGAAAGTTTCCAAAATTTCTGGAATATTTCCTAAATTTACTGGAAATTTTCCACCTTTTTGCAACCCTACTAGTAACATGATAAAACCTGCTAGCTAATTGCTAAAACATGCTAGCAGAATGTTAAAATATGCTAGGAAATGCTACATGCTAGTTACATATTAAAACATGCTAGCAACAAGCTAAAATGTGCTAGCAATGTGATGAAACATCAAAGCAAATAGTAATTTATGAAAAGCTAGCAACATGTTAAAACTGGATGGCTTCAGGTTAAAAATGTTAGCAAAGCCCAATACAATGTGTAAATATGCTAGCAGTGCTAAAACATGTTGTGACATGCTAAAACATGCTAGCTAAGTGCTAAAACATGCTAGGACATTTAAACCTACTAGCTACGTACTAAAACATGCTAGCAACAATATAAAATGTATTAGTAATGGGATGAAACATGGTAGAAACATGTTAGCAACATAATAAATCATGCTAGCATCATGTTAAACAACACCTATAGGCCTAATGTTAAAACTAAGGTGATAAATCATGCTTGAACATGTCATAATGTCCTAGCAACACGCTAAAGCCTGCTAACTAAGTGCAAAATCATGCAAGCAGCATGCTAAAACACCCTAAGTGCTAAAACTTGCCACAATGTAAAATGTGCTAGCAAAGTTATGAAACATGGTAGCAATATATAAAAACATGCTAAAAAATCCTAGCAACATACTAAATCATGCTAGAAACAAAGTAAAACATGCTAGCTTCACGATTAATGTTAACAACATCTATGTTAAAACTAACAAGGTGACAAAACATGCTTAAACCATGCTAGTAACATTCTAGCGATGTGATAAAACATGTCAACAATGTGCTAAAATATGCTAGAAGCATTTTAAATTAAAACAATCTAGCAGTGCTAAAACATGTTAACAGTAAATAGTAAATACAGTAGAAAATTTGAAGGGGTCATGAACTGCCTTTGTTTTTTATTTTGTAGTGTTTTCGGAGGTCCACTTTTTGCATCAAATTTTAGAATAGGCTATTTTCTGTCCTGTTTTTTTAACTCGCCCTCATCAGAACGCTCTGTTTGAATAGGCATGGTGGATTGTAGACTTGGAAGTAAATGCCACTGCTATGACTGGCTAACAGTTGTGTATATCTTAAAGCCTTTGTCCTTCACAGATGGACGCTGCAGTGATTTAGGTTTAAAATGCATAAATACTCAGCACATGTCAAACCAAATCTGTTTAAAAGACAAAGCAATAATAATGATCACGTAATAAAAACAGTTACTCACACTTGTGTGTTGCGACATTATCCAATATTCGGCACAGCATCATCTTTTAGTTTCAATCTTTTGAAAATCCCATGTCAAATTGTGCCTTGTTTGTAAACGAATCCACGGTAAACTGAAGTGAACAAAGGACCGAGTTCTAAAAATAAAGTTCATCCACTCTTTCCTAATGTTGGGATCAGACGGAAGGCAATGCAAAGACTGTTTTTCCATAGCTTGGCACTGCACAGCGTCTTGTTGTCTTCTGAGCCATCTTTATCGCTTGGTTTCTGCGTAGACCTGCGTTCGCCTCTCATTATTTACACAACGTGCACGAATCGGTGGGCGGGGCTAAACAGGCAGCGATGTAGAAGCAGGCGTTGATCTTCTTACGTGGAGGCGGTGTTTAGCCACACTATTATGTCATAGAGTCGTACATTCCACAAGCTGTGGTTTTGGCAGACTGGCTTCAATATAAGCTGTAGCTTTAGACTAACAAGAAAGTTTTGAGTTCTGGAACTTACAGAATGTTTTTATAGCACAATGACCTCTTATATGTCAAAAGATCAATGGAATTTTTTTTTTTCTCAGTTCACGACCCCTTTAAAGCTTTTCAAGCTAAAATGTATTTATATTACTGAACAAATTCACTCATCAACTTCCATTTGTAAAAAAATGTTGTCTAGTGGTAGCTACGTATGACATTTTGCCATCTAATTAAATGACATTCATACATTCTTAAGTGTGCTTTAGTGTTCAAAACCTGTATATTTTGTACATTAACATAGCTGAAATCTGTATTGATCAGTCAGCATGCAGTATCAGAATTATCCATTTCATATTGCAATGCATGCAGCTTTAATTAAGTGCAATAAAGCAAGCAAAAAGCATTATAATACTCACACGCATACACAATACTCACCCACAGCTTGTCTCTAGCAGACTGTCTCCCACCTGTAGTGAGGCCATGCCAAAGTCTGCAATCCTGATATTGTTCCTCTCATCCAGCAGGAGGTTTTCTGGCTTCAAGTCTCTATGACTACAGGAGCACAAAGGACAACCGGCTCTGAACATGTCGTTCACCAGCAACCCTCCACAGAAAACATACTTTGGAAGATATATAGTGTCTATTTCACTTATCCTTGTCTTTGACAATGGCATACACCTGTATCATCCTGTACATATGAACATATGAGGGAATAAAAACTCCTTAATCATGTTGAAAACAAACCATTATCAATAACTGTGTCAGTAGGGTTAATAATCACTGCTAAAAGACCCCTAAAGAAATTTGATTTGATTTTTTTTTCCCAGTCCCAAATTATATGATGCAGTGTTTTTTCAGTATTGTTTACATTCTGTTATTGCTTTTGTTAAGATTTGAAATTATATGTTATTCTTATATTTTCAGTTTTCAATTTAATTTGAGCTATTTTGTATTAATTTAAGTTACAAAGATATTATTCATGGTTTTAGTTTTAGTTAACAATAATAACCCATGATGTTCAAACATATATATTTAATTGGTGAAATACTCAAGGCGCAACATAGTTTGTAACAAAGGAAATAAAAAATAAGGTTTTGGATCAAAATCATGTAAATATCAAAAGCTTGGGGAAAAGGCCATATGCAAATTTGTGTCACCATATTCAAAATCAATTGAACACCTATTCAAAATAACCACCAGCGAATGCTGTATTCTTCTGTTTTACGTTTGATTTTAGTACACTATAACTACAGTATGAGCTACAATGTGAGTGTAAGTATATTTTACAAAGAAATCTAATTTGTGATGCGCTCAGTGTGGAACCACTTTGCACATATTTTGAATTTAATCACTTTCAACCAAACTGAAAATCATAAAGCTTCTCAAAAAATGTGATGATTTCAGGGATTCTCATGATCTAAATCAGCTTGCATTTAGGAGTAAAAAAAAAAAAGAAATGTCCTTTCTCATTCTTATTTATATTATTCTATTTAGAATTGTGTGTGTGTGTGTGCGTGCACTGTAAAAAATGGCCGTGAATTTAACGGTAAAAGACTGTAAAAATGCTACAGTAAAAACCTGTTAAATGGTTAACGGTAAATTCCCCTACTGTACACGGTGAAAAACTGTATTGGACATTACATGTATTGGACATTAATTTAACGGTAGTATACCATTTTTGTAAGTGCAAAAGACCGTATAATTTACAGTGAATAACAGTAAATTGACATTCCCAGAATTCCCTGCGTTACATTTCAAATTTGATGTTTTTACAAAGGTACAAAACAGATTTCAGTACTTCAATAGGTTGGTATATTAACGTTATATCAGTTAATGAAATTACGGTATTTAACTGTAAATTTAAGTTAAAACCGTAAAACCTAAAACGTTGCTACCGTATTTTTTACAGTACAATTCCGGCAACCACATCTGCCAGTTTTTTTACCGTAAATTTTATCGGTAAGTGTGTGAGAGAGAGAGAGTATTTGTGTCTTACCATATGGAGTGACTATGACAGAAGTCCAGAGCAGATATGATTTGTCTGAAGAACTTTCGTGCCTCTTTAGGCGTCAGTCTGCCCTTCTTCACCAAATAGTCAAACAGCTCTCCTCCTGAAACATGCTCCAGTACCAAATATCTGCATGAATGGAGCCAGAGAAAGATTGGAAAAAATGCTTCAAGATAGGAACAAATGAAGAGCAGGAAGAACAATGTTGAGTGAAGCCTAGAACAAAGCATGTAAAAGTGTGGTAACTCACAGGTATTTGTTATTCTCATAAACATCATGGAGATTCAACACGTGTGGATGCTCAATCAGTTTTAATATAGCAATTTCTCTCTCCACCTGGTTGAATGAGAAAAAGGAAAGATTATATTTACCACTCTTTATATAGTATTATCTATTTATCATCTTTATAAATAGCATATTCAAAATAGCAAATTGTTTTGATAAACGTGCCATGATAACTGTTTTTGTTTATTTTTAAAACCATAAAAATACTTAAAAAGTAAAATAAAATCATAAAATGAATGTTAAATGAAATAAAATAAAATATTTAAAACATTTAATCAACACGTTTTTTTTTTTTCATTAAAAAATCTATTAGCTTGAAAAACAGAAAAAATAACTGAACCTGAAATAAAAAGGTATGAAAATTATATAGACAAAAACTAATAAAATGGCAAAGAATTAATTACTAAAACGTTTCCTAAATTGAAAATGGAAAATACACTGTAAATTTCAATTTGTTAACTTTACTTGAAAAAAAATTATCTTGCAAACTTATTGCCACAGAAAAATCTAGTTAAGGTCACTTATCATATTCAAGTTTTCATAAATTGGCTTCTGAGTAAACTTGAATGTATTGAGCAACCTTAACTAGATTTTTCTGAGGCGATAAGATTTTTTCAAGTAATGCTTTATGCTGAAAATAAAAATTCAAAATATTTATAAAAACTATAATAGTATCTCAGTGATATTCTGTAATTATGCAGTACTGTATCTGATGCATTACTGTAGCACGCTGACATAATACTTTTAACATGTAGAATATTATAATTTAATTTTAATGACTGTGTAAAACTTTACAAAAACCACAGCATTAAAAAAGAGTTAATTCTTTCTTTACCTTCATCAACACAGATTCTGAGAGTTTTTCTCTGTTGACTATTTTGAGGGCTACTTTTTGGCCAGTGATGCAGTGAATCCCGAGCTTCACCAGACCTATATTGACATGCACAAGACAGTTCATCAGTGACAACTGCTTTGAAAGGAGCAGAAAAATTACAGACAATCTAATAAGTAAACAACATCTCCTTACCTGTCTGGCCTTTCCCGAGAGTCTTCTCCAGTCGATACGGCCCCACATACTGAGCTGCCGGGGTCACTGACAGTTCCTTAGACATAGTGGCGGCCTGGCTCCTGCTAAACTTGCTACTGCATGCAATGTTATCACAGCGCACCGTTTTTGAGTTGAGTTTTTCTAAAATAGTCTCCCAAGGGTCTGCAACAACCCGGAAATATATCCATGCTGAGCTCGGGGTTCCCTAAAAACTGTCATTTCTTATTCTGGACTCTTTGTGTTTGTCATGTAGATGAGGGGAAAGATGCCGATGGCAATGCAAAGATACAGTCAGGTCCATAGAAGCAGCCTAATTCACAGCTCTGCCAATCAAAGTCACCCTTCTCAATCGATCAGACTTTTCGTTCCCAGTCATTACAGAAAGCCAGGTCCTGTTAGTAAGCTCCAGTTTCCAGATGTATCTAGCAGCTGGCCATCGCCTCGTGACAAAAACACCATTTAGAAACTCCTCCTGACTAGTGTTTGTAAAATATAAGTGAACACAAGCCTTCAGTACACTTGTGCTAGGCCTAACTCCCAGGGAAAGGAGACAGAATCTCACCATTTGCTGTCGTTTCACATTGAGCAAGACAAGCCAAACGAGCAGTGCGATCGCGGAAGGAGATCCAAGTCGCTCTGCAATTTTCTGTCACAACCATGATACATCAACCTCAACATAAAAACTGAAAATATTTAATAATAATAATAATTATTATTATTATTATTATGATTATTATATAAAAATATAAAATCAAACAATATCACAATTTTAATACTTCAACAAAGTTTTAGCATGAGTACTTGAGTTCAACAAGTTCACACAGCCTCAGATTTTTTATTACTTTTTATTATTTTATGTTAATAATAATAATTTTTATTTTCTTTTATGCTACTACTACTACTAATAATTATTATTTTGTGTAATTGTGCTTATATTTTGTCACAACCATATGTCAATACAATCATATAAATAGCAAATAATTTTAGATTTTTTTTTTTTTACATCATTGTGCTTATGTTTTGTCACAACCATGATATGTGAACCCCTTCACACAAATTGCAATTTTTTTCTAACCTTTCATGGGTCCTCGCTAGCAGTACTATAAAACTAACACGACTAGAGCATGATTAATATGTGATGAAAAGTATGAAAGTGGTTTTGTCAACACCATCAGTATTTCTTCAATAGATGGTGCTGACAGTCAGGTGCTGTGTCTACAGGCCTACTTTCAGGAAACCACAATGTGCAGTATGCAGACCACTGCAGTTAAAGGTCAATCAATCATTGCATGCAATTATTAAGGAACTATTTAGTCTCAGTTATTTAGTGATCACAGTTATGTAGGCTGCCTCTTAATTGTCATGGTTAAAATCTGTCGGCTTGTGTAGTAATGACAAAATAAAGAAACAATTATAGTAATTTATTCAAAATCAAATGAAATGCACTGTGTTTTTTACAGTGTGAAATCTGGAAAATAATAATAAAACTGGGTTCTTCTTTCTTCCACAGTTACAGATATCATGGACAACATGAGGGACACCAACAAGACTTCCCAGGATCAAAAGAAACATGTCCACTGCTTTCCAGCACTTGCACCCCTTTCACTGTCCTTAGAATGGTTTAGTCCAGTGAAATGTGAGGGAATGCAAGGACACTGGAGGACCCAGAAAGGATGGCCCTAAGTTAAAAATAGCAGAAGAAAATCAGACAAATTCAGAATCAACAAATCAATGCATTCATCCAGACAGAAGAGAAATGTACACACGATCACTTCACAGTACTACTGTAAGGAAACGCTTCAGAAACTGTGCTACATCAAACTGCAGATACATTTCAAAGAGAAGAAAAGTCACAATAAAATTAGGAATATATTGGGTATAATAACAGTATTCGATACTCACATGTAAATGCATGTCCCCTCACGAGGTTGTCGTGGCCCCCTTCACACAGGCCTCAAAAGATTCCAGCAGCTCCTTACAGCCCTCTGCACCCTTCCCCTGAACACTGGACACATATACAGTCTGTTCAGTGCTAACAGTGAAATAGTCTGCACCTATGAGAATATGATTCTGCTGTGCATTGATTTTTTTGGACAACTGATCTCATGTCAGGATCAAAGGGGACACATTCCTTGGAGTCAAAGGTCAAAGGGTGTTGTTACATCATCACATGAAAGAGTCTTCAGAGTTATGCTTTTTTTTAGGATATGGCTAGCTGATGTTATATACTTTGGGAAGTCTTGCAGTGTGAGATATTATAAGCAAACTAAAGCTATTTTAATACAAATATGTACAAATATAAAAAAAAGTCATTACAGAAAGCCAGGTCCTGTTAGTAAGCTCCAGTTTCCAGATGTATCTAGCAGCTGGCCATCGCCTCGTGACAAAAACACCATTTAGAAACTCCTCCTGACTAGTGTTTGTAAAATATAAGTGAACACAAGCCTTCAGTACACTTGTGCTAGGCCTAACTCCCAGGGAAAGGAGACAGAATCTCACCATTTGCTGTCGTTTCACATTGAGCAAGACAAGCCAAACGAGCAGTGCGATCGCGGAAGGAGATCCAAGTCGCTCTGCATCCGCGGATCTGGCAGCTCTGCTTCAGCTCTGCTGCTGATGTTGAGCTACGGACCGCAGCATCCTCATCCTTCTCCTTCTCCTTCTCGTCTGCGCAGTGTGTCCTCTCTCGCCGGTCACTTTTGGGGAAGGGGTTATGTGTTTTTGATGGTGACTGATACGTCGCGCGCTAATATTTTGCGTGTCTTGACGGTTTTTTTTGCGTTGTAAAGCGTTATGTTCTCCGCTCTGGTTCCTCGCATTAGCATCCGGGTCCCACACCCTCCTCCTCATCATCATCAATATATAAAAATATTATAGTTTTAGTTATAGTTAGTTATAGTTAAAGGAACATTTCACCCAAAAATGAAAACTTGTTGAAAATGTACTCACCCTTGGCTCAGGCCATCCAAAATAGATGAGTTTGTTTCCTTAATGGGAACAGATTTGGATAAATTTAGTTTTACATCACTTGCTCACCAATGGATCAATGCAGTGAATGGGTGCCGTCAGAATAAGAGAATGTCAGTTTAACCATCACTTCTGGCCAAAATATGAGTCCATAATCCATAATAACACTTCTTCCAGTGAAAAGTCCATTCCCTGTTGTCTTCTCACATCAAAATCCACCCACATATTTGTTTAGAACAGTTTTCACTTGTAAACGGTGCTCGATCTGTGCATATTTCTCTCCTGATTCAAACAAGACGACTTTTACACTGGAGAAAGCAATATTATGGATATAGAACTTGCATTTCAGACTGGAGTGGTGTGGATCACTTGTGGATTATTGTGATGTTTTTATCAGCTGTTTGGACTCTAGCTCTGCTGCTGATGTTGAGCTACGGACTGCAGCATCCTCATCCTTCTCCTTCTCCTTCTCGTCTGCGCAGTGTGTCCTCTCTCGCCGGTCACTTTTGGGGAAGGGGTTATGTGTTTTTGATGGTGACTGATACGTCGCGCGCTAATATTTTGCGTGTCTTGACGGTTTTTTTTGCGTTGTAAAGCGTTATGTTCTCCGCTCTGGTTCCTCGCATTAGCATTCGGGTCCCACACCCTCCTCCTCATCATCATCAACCATCCCTCCACTGCACCTCGCGCCACATATCTGCTCCTCGCGATACAGTCATGCTATCAGATCGTAGAATGATACTTAATATATTGGCACTGAATGATAAGCATCTTCAAGTACCAAATACGTAGCCTACTCCAAAAATTGTTTTTAATTAATTAATTTTTGGAATTTTATCTTTTCTATAAGCCTTCACATATTTTCGTCAACATTAAAAAATTAACAAAAAAATAAATAAAAAAATAAAATAAATAAATAAAACGATATCAAAATTTTAGGTTCAACAAAGTTTTAATACTTGACGAGTGCTTGAGTTCAACAAGGTCACACAGGCTCAGATTAGTTTTTATTATTTTATTTTTATTTATTATTTTTCATTTTTATTTAATTTTTTAATGATTTTTTATTGTTGTTTTATGTCATTGTGCTTATATTTTCTGTCACAACCGTGATACATCAACCTCAACATAAAAACTGATAATAATAATAATAATAATTAATGCCTAATTATAATTATACATCAAATTATATTACTGTGATAATAATTATTAATAATAATTATTATTATATCAAAAATATGAAATCAAACAACATCCAAATTTTAAGTTCAACAACGTTTTAATGCTTGACAAGTGCTTGAGTTCAACAAGGTCACACAGGCTCAGATTCGTTTTTATTATTTTATTTTTATTTATTATTTTTCATTTTTATTTAATTTTTTAATGATTTTTTATTGTTTATTGTTGTTTTATGTCATTGTGCTTATATTTTCTGTCACAACCATGATACACCAAAATAGATGAGTTTGTTTCCTTAATGGGAACAGATTTGGATAAATTTAGTTTTACATCACTTGCTCACCAATGGATCAATGCAGTGAATGGGTGCCGTCAGAATAAGAGAATGTCAGTTTAACCATCACTTCTGGCCAAAATATGAGTCCATAATCCATAATAACACTTCTTCCAGTGAAAAGTCCATTCCCTGTTGTCTTCTCACATCAAAATCCACCCACATATTTGTTTAGAACAGTTTTCACTTGTAAACGGTGCTCGATCTGTGCATATTTCTCTCCTGATTCAAACAAGACGACTTTTACACTGGAGAAAGCAATATTATGGATATAGAACTTGCATTTCAGACTGGAGTGGTGTGGATCACTTGTGGATTATTGTGATGTTTTTATCAGCTGTTTGGACTCTCATTCTGACGGCACCCATTCAGGATCCATTGGTGAACAAGTGATGTAATGCTAAATCTGTTCTGATAAAGAAACAAACTCATCTACATCTTGGATGGCCTTAGGGTGAGTACATTTTCAACAAATTTTTATTTTTGGGTGAAATATCCTTGAAAAAAAACAATTCTTGAAAAAAAAAAACGGACATGGTATGCAGATTTGCAGCTTTTCTTCACAGATCGCTAGTTTGAAGTCTCTCACTGGGTTTTTATTATTTTATTTTTATTTATTATTTTTCATTTTTATTTAATTTTTTAATGATTTTTTATTGTTGTTTTATGTCATTGTGCTTATATTTTCTGTCACAACCGTGATACATCAACCTCAACATAAAAACTGATAATAATAATAATAATAATTATAGCCTAATTATAATTATACATCAAATTATATTACTGTGATAATAATTATTAATAATAATTATTATTATATCAAAAATATGAAATCAAACAACATCCAAATTTTAAGTTCAACAACGTTTTAATGCTTGACAAGTGCTTGAGTTCAACAAGGTCACACAGGCTCAGATTCGTTTTTATTATTTTATTTTTATTTATTATTTTTCATTTTTATTTAATTTTTTAATGATTTTTTATTGTTTATTGTTGTTTTATGTCATTGTGCTTATATTTTCTGTCACAACCATGATACATTCCAGCACTTGCACCCCTTTCACTGTCCTTAGAATGGTTTAGTCCAGTGAAATGTGAGGGAATGCAAGGACACTGGAGGACCCAGAAAGGATGGCCCTAAGTTAAAAATAGCAGAAGAAAATCAGACAAATTCAGAATCAACAAATCAATGCATTCATCCAGACAGAAGAGAAATGTACACACGATCACTTCACAGTACTACTGTAAGGAAACGCTTCAGAAACTGTGCTACATCAAACTGCAGATACATTTCAAAGAGAAGAAAAGTCACAATAAAATTAGGAATATATTGGGTATAATAACAGTATTCGATACTCACATGTAAATGCATGTCCCCTCACGAGGTTGTCGTGGCCCCCTTCACACAGGCCTCAAAAGATTCCAGCAGCTCCTTACAGCCCTCTGCACCCTTCCCCTGAACACTGGACACATATACAGTCTGTTCAGTGCTAACAGTGAAATAGTCTGCACCTATGAGAATATGATTCTGCTGTGCATTGATTTTTTTGGACAACTGATCTCATGTCAGGATCAAAGGGGACACATTCCTTGGAGTCAAAGGTCAAAGGGTGTTGTTACATCATCACATGAAAGAGTCTTCAGAGTTATGCTTTTTTTTAGGATATGGCTAGCTGATGTTATATACTTTGGGAAGTCTTGCAGTGTGAGATATTATAAGCAAACTAAAGCTATTTTAATACAAATATGTACAAATATAAAAAAAAAATATATATATATAAAAATATTATAGTTTTAGTTATAGTTAGTTATAGTTAAAGGAACATTTCACCCAAAAATGAAAACTTGTTGAAAATGTACTCACCCTTGGCTCAGGCCATCCAAAATAGATGAGTTTGTTTCCTTAATGGGAACAGATTTGGATAAATTTAGTTTTACATCACTTGCTCACCAATGGATCAATGCAGTGAATGGGTGCCGTCAGAATAAGAGAATGTCAGTTTAACCATCACTTCTGGCCAAAATATGAGTCCATAATCCATAATAACACTTCTTCCAGTGAAAAGTCCATTCCCTGTTGTCTTCTCACATCAAAATCCACCCACATATTTGTTTAGAACAGTTTTCACTTGTAAACGGTGCTCGATCTGTGCATATTTCTCTCCTGATTCAAACAAGACGACTTTTACACTGGAGAAAGCAATATTATGGATATAGAACTTGCATTTCAGACTGGAGTGGTGTGGATCACTTGTGGATTATTGTGATGTTTTTATCAGCTGTTTGGACTCTCATTCTGACGGCACCCATTCAGGATCCATTGGTGAACAAGTGATGTAATGCTAAATCTGTTCTGATAAAGAAACAAACTCATCTACATCTTGGATGGCCTTAGGGTGAGTACATTTTCAACAAATTTTTATTTTTGGGTGAAATATCCTTGAAAAAAAACAATTCTTGAAAAAAAAAAACGGACATGGTATGCAGATTTGCAGCTTTTCTTCACAGATCGCTAGTTTGAAGTCTCTCACTGGGCTAAAATCTAATAAAAAAGATAATGCATAATTCTAAAACACCAGGTGCTTTCAAAGTCTAGACCAGATCTGCACATGACGGCGACTTCATAACCTTCATAAATAACGCAGACATTGCAATACAGGCGATGTAATGTGAGCTGTGAGCAAACCTCCACTCCCTCGCCATTCCATGTGTGAGCCTATTTGAAACCAGGCTATATTTACATCACACATATACATTACTAAAGTTCATGCTAAATTTGGCATTTGGCATATTGCTCTGAATGTCGCATACAAATATGAGACATGTTTATAATTATATTTTGACTGGTATGCGTTCGTGCATATTCATACTGCAAAGACTCAAGCATTTGTTTCATTTTATTTTGTAATCTCAGATGTACTCTGAATTATTATTGAATGAATTTAATACATAATGCAATACTCTGTTTCTGACAAATGCTATGTTTTACGTGTAAGCACCCAACCTAGAAGTCATGCACCACAAATGATGACCTCAATTGACAATGCATGCATGCGAGTAAACCAGTTGAGAGATAATCATAAAGTAGATAGCTCTTCGCTTGTGAATGGTCCAACTTTTGCAACTCACCGTAAAGTTCACATTATTGTGTCACTGTGTGAGTGCATTGACCTCTGACCTTTTGACCTAGAAAGAGAGCACTCTGCTTTGTTAACAAATGAAGATAGAGTTTATTCATTTGTTCGTGAAAGCATCCAAAATGCTGGAAAAACGACAGAAACTATTGTAATATGTATCTCCAAAGCTCTGTTGACATCAAATGCAAGCACAAGGGGAACGTGTGTTACAGCAACATGCTTTAACTTAGTAACACGATGGCTAACGTGGGTCATTTTTCACCTGCATCATCAATTTCAAAACCTGCTACCCCCCAGCACCATGTGCTCAATACTGAATCCAACACACGTTTTAACTAGTCTTTCAAAAATGTTCATTCACAAACCACTACAGATAACCTATATACAGGGAGGTGTTATGATATTGGTGAATGAACAAGAACAAATGCTGAGCTATAAAGCATGCAACCGTTTTTTTTTATTATTAAAAAAGCACCAGACATTTAAAGTATTCAAAATTCAGTGTTGCGTTAATGTATATCCTTACTGAAATTTGACTCACCATTTGTCCAGCTCATCTTTGGGAGCCTTGCACTGAGCAGGAACTTCTTCAGGCATTTTTCTTTGCTTGTGTGACACAATGTCAGAGAGCAGAGAAGAGCCTTTAAGGAAGTACAGGGTGAACAACTAATATATATAGGATTACTTCCCAGGCTGTGCGGGAAGGAAGAGGAAGAGAGGGAGGAGAAACAGGCTGCAGAAAGTGTCAGAGAGGGCAGGAATCATATAGTAAAGGTGACTTTGACAAAATTAGAATGGAATGGAATGTTCCTTCTTGAAAGGTACATATTGCATATATTTGGGTATTAATAATACATATTAATAATACAAGATATCTGCAATGTTTCTGTTTCAGAATAACATAAATCAAGATCCAGCATGTCTGCTGTAAATATTCATTCATGAACAAGGGGTAGATTTTAAACTAATGTTTATTAATTCCTATCCATTTAAAAGAGTCTCTCTCTCTCTCTCTGTGTGTGTGTGTGTATGTGTGTGTGTAAAACATATTTTACATATTCCATATCATTTTCATATCCTCTCTAGTCTTACATTTTATTGTAAACAGGATGGTGAATATATAACAACATTTTTATTTATGTACTATCCCTTTATTTATGACTTCGTCATAACATAAGACATAAAAAAAGACTCCAATCAAACACAAGATGGCGCAGTTTTACAAGAGCCAGTAGAAACACGAACAAACGACAAAAGAAAGGAAAATAATCAACATCTATCTATCTATCTATCTATCTGTCTGTCTACTATCTATCTATCTATCTATCTGTCTGTCTACTATCTATCTATCTATCTGTCTGTCTGTCTGTCTGTCTGTCTACTATCTATCGGTCTGTCTGTCTGTCTGTCTACTATCTATCTGTCTGTCTATCTGTCTGTCTACTATCTATCTGTCTGTCTGTCTGTCTACTATCTATCTGTCTGTCTGTCTGTCTGTCTACTATCTATCGGTCTGTCTGTCTGTGTGTCTACTATCTATCTGTCTGTCTATCTGTCTGTCTACTATCTATCTATCTGTCTGTCTGTCTGTCTACTATCTATCTGTCTGTCTGTCTGTCTACTATCTATCTGTCTGTCTGTCTGTCTGTCTACTATCTATCTGTCTACTGTCTATCTACTATCTATCAGTCTGTCTACTATCTGTCTGTCTGTTTACTATCTATCTGTCTGTCTACTATCTATCTGTCTGTCTGTCTACTATCTATCTGTCTGTCTGTCTACTATCTATCTGTCTGTCTGTCTACTATCTATCTGTCTGTCTGTCTACTATCTATCTGTCTGTCTGTCTACTATCTATCTGTCTGTCAATGTGTTTGAAACAGACCAAATAACAGTCAAATAACAGGAGTGTTCCTACTCCGTTCCAGCGCGAGGTAGTCTCTTGCCCGAATGCTGTCTTTTATTGGAACAGACATGTAGTAACATTAACTCAGAAATTATTTATGTACAATAAAATCAAAGAAGTGTCTTATAAAACGATACATCGATGATATCCTACAAAGGTTTTTTATTTTATTTTACAAAGGTTTATTTCTGATGACTTTGATGCAAGTTGCTCCTTCTGTGATGACCAAACTGAAGATTTGTCCCATCTCTTTTGGCATTGTGATTATACTAAGAATCTCTGGAAAAACATATGGAGTGTTTTTCATGGTATAATTCCTGATATCTCTTTGAAATATGGAAATGTTATTCTATAGGATATACACATGCGAGTGAACAGTCAGATGCTTTTTTTTATTTATTCAACCTTATTTTGTTCTTGGCTAAATATTTTATACATAAATGTCAATTTTGCAAACGTAAGCCTTTCTATAGAAATGTTCTTGAAGATTTAAAACTCTGTGTTTGATTTCTGACTGTACTAATAAGAAAGCTGTAAAGACTGTGAATATGTTCAAAAGATACATTATTGTCTTGCTCCCTGGCATATGATTTAATGTCATTTTGTTCCATCTGGTTGTATTAATTAAAAAAAAAAAAGCTTGGCGGAAAATATGTATGCGTTTTTCCTAAATATTTCAGTGCGTTCACAGTCCCCCTCTAGTGGCCAGTCAGCGAAGTGCTGCTCTGCGCTCACTCTAGCGACGTAAGCCTTTCTATAGAAATGTTCTTGAAGATTAAAAACTCTGTGTTTGATTTCTGACTCTACTAATAAGAAAGCTGTAAAGACTGTGAATATGTTCAAAAGATACATTATTGTCTTGCTCCCTGGCATATGATTTAATGTCATTTTGTTCCATCTGGTTGTATTAATTAAAAAAAAAAAAGCTTGGCGGAAAATATGTATGCGTTTTTCCTAAATATTTCAGTGCGTTCACAGTCCCCCTCTAGTGGCCAGTCAGCGAAGTGCTGCTCTGCGCTCACTCTAGCGGCGGGCGTGAGAATGTCTCCCGCTTACAGGCTTCTCGCTACACGCTCTGCATCTGTATTTGTCAGACTCAAATCCAAGGGAGACAAACGAGGCGCCATCTTTCGTGCGTTTCTCCCTGCATCGAAGAGAAAATGATCTCGAAACCGGTGGTCCATGCCACCTCCAATCTGTAAATAAAGGCGTATATGAAAAGAACTCGTATCTGAGCAAAACATCGATTCATAATATAAAGAAAAATATACATTTGCTATCCATAATCCACTGAAGGGGACAGCAGCAGCAAGGTGTTGTCTAGTATCGCCCATTTCGTGATTCCGGAGCCGATAGCGAAAAGGGTTCCTGAAACCGGGGTGTTTTTCACGAAGCGGACACGGATATGGCAAAGGCGGCGGGGTTGCTTTACCAAACGGCTTATTTCGTGCTTTGGTGACATTATTGTGATACTGAAGCCAAAGGTCGGTGGAATAGTTACCGAAATTCCCTCGGATTGCGCGCCCGTCACGTGGTAGGTTCCTCCTTTTTCTTTGTTAGTGGACGATCTCGAGCAGCACTTGTGTTACATAAACCTAATACTGCAAACCTGTCTGAGCTTCGAGTTTTACCATGAACTGTTGTATTTGCAATAATTTAATGTGTAATTTTATTATTGGGGGTTCGAAGGCTTGTATGACCGCTTTAAAACAGATTACTATGCAATAAACTCACTCATAAGCGCGCCTATTTAGAATTTCCCCCTCATTTTAACTATAACAGACCTATATATCTTCCTTGTTTTTGATGATACAACTCGCAGCCTTATGTAGTCTGTGCTAACTTACCGGTTCTCGTTCAAATTGGTGGTTAAAATGACTTGCATAACGCAAGCAAGGCCATTTGAGAGCATACTAAACATGTGTAACGTTAATGCTCATATTTACTGTAGTATGAGGCTTAACAGACATCTAAGTTAGCAATGCATTAAAAACATAATGCAGTGTATTTTATGAGGTTCTACGTCTAATCTTCGAGTCGGAGCTGAAAGGCTGCTTCATTTATGCACGGAAGTGGTGTGAATGTTCACGTGGTCTGTTCAGAATATACTGCTAAAGCGAAACGTTGCACTTGTGCGTTGTAGCTTTAGTACGTTAGCTAGGCATTCGTGTGTGAGATTTTATAAACGGACTTGATGTTAACCTAATATATTATCTATTATTGACCTGCAGTGTGTATTATACCGGTATTTCCTGTATTGTGTGTACTGGATGAGTCGCTTGTTATGGCAGTCATGCGTAGAAAACGCGTGATTATTTTATTTTATTTTTTAGCATGAACACAGAACCGTGGGTTCTTTACGCTTCCTTCGCTGGTTCTTTGTTAAACCGTAACCGGATTTGTTATGTTTACTACTTGGCATATTAACCTAGTTAGGATCTTAAAACTCGATAACTCACAGAGTACAGACACCAAATTTTGTTTGAGCGTTTCATATTAAAGATTCCACCAATTAGTTGCTAATTAACATGTCCCAACTTTACTGTTTGAAATGTAAACGTAGGTGTTCTAGAAAAAGCGGTTGTTTTTTAGATGGAGCGGGTCGCCCCCTCATGGGCAGCACCATGTTGACATCACATGACCAGTGCGTTTCATGTCATGCAGTTGACCGAGTTACTACTAATAATATATTTATTATTTATTGTTTTCAGCAAGTGCTCAAGGCGTTTTACAAAGCAGAGACAAAGACAACATACAGTAAAATAACAGCTTTTTTGTGAATTTACAGCCGTTAGTAAACAATTGCTAGAGTTGTGACCGATAAAAGCTAGCTTTAAAAAACCCAGTACTTTTCAAGACTGATCGCATCATCAGTAAAATGAAATATCGTCCTTCACCCTCCTCTGTCAGTGTATCAATATATGTCCTTTGATAATGCAATGGCTATAACAATAATTATGAAGCCACACTGACATGTTTCGTTAGTAGCGAAATACTCTACAGTTGTTTGTGTTTTTAGTTGAGGTATGGACGGTACATGGTAATTCATGAGTCGAACTATCTCTACATGTACTTATGAAGAGATAGTCTCTTATCTGTTGAGGCCTAAAGGCATATCCCTAATTCCGTTGACACAGATGGTCTGCTGAGGAGGAGGGGACAATGAGGAGGCTTGCTCTTACATAAGCTTGAAAAGAGTAGGTCTTTCCTACTAACGACTATGGTAATGGTCCCTGCTCAGTTGAGGTCAATGAGTTTTCATTCCCTTTTTACTTTGAGGGGAAGAGCATCAGGGCAGATAAATTCATGTCTATGAAATACTGATAACTGATTCCTGTTTGAGCATACTCACACCGTTATCACTAGTTATCTTCTAGTCTGTGTTTATTTTTATTTATTCAGTGTATTGAGACTAAAATAAAATTCAATATGGCATCACAATTGACCTCTTTATATTTTTTTATGTATGTTCCTGGTTTTGCTGTGAATGATTCAACACTGCATGTTATTCCAAAGATTTTCCCTCCCAAAACAATATTCGCTATGCCAAAAACTAATCTTATTAGAGGCCTGCTGGCTTGAATTTTGGAGAAGGCTTATCAGACAGAGATTACAGTTGTGTTTGAGATATTTTACTCATGAATGCCTCAAAAAATGTGAAGCTCAGAATGGGCTGTTGTAAGAAAACCTTGAAGATAAGAACGCTCCTTAGACAATTGATGTGAAAAAGCCCAGCCCATATTCAACCCCACCCGTTGAATATCCTGTTTCAGCCATAAATAGACAGATTACACAAGTGCAATAGTAATTTTCATTATAAGACAGCAAGTGGACTAAATAGCTTGTCTCACCAGCCGGTTATTATTAAAGTTTAATGAATAGGTTGGGGGGGAGGGGGGTCTTGTTGAAGGCCAGCTGGCTTGAATTTTGGAGAAGAAATATCGGACAGAGATTGCAGTTGTGTTTCGGGTATTTGGCTTATTTTCCAAATTTTGAGCCACAGAACGAGGTTTGCTGAAACTCTGGGTCTTGTAAGAAAACATTTAAAGGGTTAGTTCACCCCAAAATGAAAATTCTGTCATTAATTACTCACCCTCATGTTGTTCCAAACCCGTAAGACCTTCGTTCATCTTGGGAACACAAATTAAGATATTTTTGATGAAATGTGAGAGCTCTCAGACCCTGCACAGACAGCAACGCAACTGTAATGTTCCCAGGTCCAGAAACGTAGTAAGGACATCGGTAAAACAGTCCATGTGACATCAGTGACTCAACTTCAGTTTTGCGAAGCTACGAGAATACTTTTTGTGCGCAAAGAAGAAAAAAAAACTTTGACTTTATTCAACAATTCTTCTCCCCCGAGTTACGTCTTCCGCCATTTTGGAGAGTACCCAAGAGCGTAATCGACGTAATCAGCGTTGTTTACGTTCGGGGGAGAAAGTGTGCGCATGAACGTAATCTGCGTAATCAGCGTTGTTTACGCTTCGGGGAAAGCGTGCATATGCATTGTGATACTTTCTAAAATGGAGGAAGACGTAACTCGGGGGAGAAGAATTGTTGAAATTTTTTTTATTTTTGTTTTCTTTGCGCTCAAAAAGTATTCTTGTATTCTCGCAAAACTGATGTTGAGCCACTGATGTCACATGGACTGTTTTACCGATGTCCTTACTACGTTTCTGGACCTGGGAATATTACAGTTGTGTTGCTGTCTGTGCAGGGTCTGAGAGCTCTCACATTTCATCAAAATATCTTAATTTGTGTTCCGAAGATGAACGAAGGTCTTACGGGTTTGGAACGACATGAGGGTGAGTAATTAATGACAGAATTTTCATTTTGGGGTGAACTAACCCTTTAAGATAAGAAAACTCTTAGTAAAAAATATCCTCACACAATTCATGTGTATAAATGGATAAAATCAAGCACCACCCATTGAATATTCTTTTTAATCATACATGTGAGGATTACACAAGAGCAATGGGTTGCAAACTGCTTTTCTGACATATGGCAAATATTGGTGCAAATATTAGAAATGAAGAGAACTTTTTTAAACGGCTTGTATCTCCAGCAGGTTATTATTAAAGGTTATCTTCACTTTCAAAATATTCTGTATATTTGCAGTCTCCTAAATCTCTTTTTTCCTTTGTAGCCAGGCTGTGTAGTTGGGCTGGAGTGAAGGTTTGGAGGTGCAGGCTGCCGTGCCCATTCCTCGGCCCTGCATGGCTGCGATGGCGCCCGCTTTGACCGACACCCCAGCCGAAGCCCGCCACATCCGCTTCAAACTCGCCTCTCCCTCATCCACCCTGTCCCCCGGCAGCACCGAGAACAACAGCAACGCCAGCAACATCCTCATCTCCGACTCGGTCTCGGACTCTGCCGGTAGCCACACCAACGGCAAGTGTCACGTCAGCGCCGACGACAGACAGAGCTTCGCCCATTACCACAGCGTCAAGGGTCAGGAGCAGGAACCCCTGTCTAATGCCCCATCTCTGGGCAAGCTGGCAACGTACTTGTGCTCTGATGTCAAACCATTGCCCTCGTCCACCAAAGTCAAGGAGTCACTGAAGCTGCAAGGTGTCCTCATCAAGCAGTCGGTGCTGAAGAGCCACGGCCTGCTGAGCGGCTCCATATTCCCGAGTGCTGCTGCAGGCAGCGACTTCCTGCTGCGCAAGCGGCACACACTTGAGCTAACCAGAGGTCAGTTGAAGAGCCTTGTCAACGGTGCCGGAGCTGGAAGTACCATGGTGCCTGTGAACGGACTCTCCAAGAAAGTGGCTGTACCTAGTGCGGCCGTGGCTGAGAAAGGCAGCGTGGCCACAGTGAATGGAGACAGCAACCAGCCTTCCACCAATGGGGAAGCGTTGTTATCCGTGTCCTCCAAGTCTGTCGGTACCTTTGCAACTGGCGACGTGAAGCCACAACAGAATTTGACACCAAGCGTTCAAGGCGTGTCATCACATAGGGAGCTCACGGCTTTGTCTGAAAGTATGGAGGTTAAAGCAGAACCGGAGAGTCCCGTTGTTGAAACAAACAGTAACAATATCGTAGACTGTCCCTTGTCCCGTAACTCTTCCCCAGTCCATGATGATTCATCCCTTTCGACCCCCAACCTGGAGGCTCTGCTCCGGGATCGGGCTCAGCAGAGCCAACACAGGCAAACGGACATCGAAGGCCGCCTGCTGCGTCTTCGCAAGCGGCTGCAGGTGGTGCAGGCCAAGCAGGTGCAACGGCATTTCAAACAGCAACTCACTGGTTTTCTGGACCGCACTCTGACACCAACATCTAGCCGTAGGGCGGACCAAGGGGCGTGGAGAGGCACTCGCGCTTCCGTGGACACCCACGCGCATAATCTGAGTCAGTTTTTGAAGGGTGGTAGGGTGGCTTCAGAACTGGAGCAACTGCATCTGAGCGGCACCACGTATTTGCGAGCGACGGAGGCTCAGTTTGACTCGGACGCCACTGAGAGCAGTTCGGGAGGAGAGAGTGACATCGAGGAGGAGGAGCTGGGCAGGGCGGATGTTGAGCAGCGTCATATTAAACTGTAAGTCAAACAGTTGTTTTCAGAAAAAGTCTGCTTTTAAAGACATGAAATGAAGCGCATGTTATAGTTCTTATTGTGAACAGTTGTTTAATCAAAATGTCAACTGGTCTTACAGTGAAAATGCTAGACTTCTCTCTGGTGCTGTATGCAGAATTTTTCGAATCATGTAGTCCCCTCAAACCCTGTCCAGCGACTTCATTATCATTACCTAACTTTAGCGCCCACACCTCAAAATCCAATCATACCCTACATATTTTATTTCATGATAATCTGTTGCACTCAGATGTATGTGACAATACGGAATGTTGAGTTACTTTTGAACTACTTTTAATTTGTGCGCCGTGTTTTTAGAATGCCGTGTCATGTGCAAAATGTTGTTTAAACTTTTAATTTTTTAACTTGAGCACAGCATTTTTAGAACACTCTGTCATGCACGAGGTGCATGTGTACTACATGTGAGGAGAGTGCAAAAACTCTCCTACAACTCAAATGGAACCTCATAAGTAACTGATTTGAAACAATTTAGGCATAAAATACAGTGCACGGGAGACTATTGACAACTGATTTTGGTAGTGTTTGGTGTTTGCATGTTATTAATGCCGTTATACTTTTATGATAGTACTAGGGATATGCCGGTATCAAATTTTCATGTTGCGATTAATTGCTAATGCTTTTATCTCGGTATACGGTATTATCACGATATTGAAATTTAGTTTAAAAAAAAGTGCTGTCATAATACAGTATAACAGGTTTAATAACTTTTTTCTTATAACAAAAATAACTGAACATTTAAATGCAATAAAGCAATACAGAAATATAAGGGTTTACTCTTAGTTTTTTCTGTAATTTAATTACAGTTACTTCTGATGTAATTACATTAAATACTGTATAGAACAATAGTGGATTTAACATCAGAATGTAACATAATGTTAAAATATATGTTTTTAATGTAACCTTCTCCCTTTAAATACTTTGGTCAGTTCAAGAATAATTTATGCCAAGCATCTTTCACGCAGCATACAGCGGTGTTGTGCATTTTGACCAGTTGATGGGAAAAGTATTCTTAAAATGCATTAAAAATTCTGAATAATTTGTAATATATAAATATTCACGGTATTTAGAAGTGCCAACGATAACAATATCGTGCATATTCATTACCGTGATATATATCGCATTACCGAATACCGGCACATGTCTAGATAGTACATGCAAATTTTGTGGGTAAAATGCTCAGTTTTTATTTAGATTGAACCATTTATTAATTGGTTTTAGGTGAATAAATTGGATTTGTAATGAACATTCTTCTTGCACTATCCATCATTGTCATCTAGCATCAGTTTTGTCATCTAGCATCAGAATCTGATATCCCCTCCCTTTCTGTTAGGTAAAGAAAGCTGCAACTGTTGAGTGCACAAAGTGTTAACAAAGTGCATCATCCGGATATCTGAAGTACTCTTTTTCTTTTTGTAATTTTTAGTGTGAGTACACCTCTCAACACACACTGCAAAAGTGCATAAGTACGTGAATTGGGACGCACTTTTTGATTTAGTCTCATTAAACCATTGTGCAGCATTACTATGGTGAAGCAGGCACGTTATGTGGCCTGTTCACAGGAGCCCCAAAGGAGCGTGGGGGCATGTTTGTGACTGTAGGCCTGTGTGTTCATGCCCTGAACCTTTTAGAGAGTCACTGTTAATTTCCAGTCTGACCTTGTTTGTACAGTGAGATCATAGATCTTGTTGCCATGACGCAGTCTAGTCTAAAGTCATTTCAGCTGTCCTCCGCGGCTGTGGTCTTATTTGAAAACTTCAGCGAGGTTAAATTTCCTGTTTGGCCCCCGAGGGAGAGTCTGATTCATTGTAGGTGAAAACAGAGAGGGTGAAACCGAGAACCCTGATGTTTTGGTTAATATTAAAATCAAAGTAAACCACAGGTGATGGATAAAAAAACGGTTCTTTTTAAGCAGTTTCACTTTCATGTGTAATTTTTGTTCCTACTTCCTGTTTTTGTGTGTGTATGTACAAAGCGTCGTGAGCTCTGCCTAACAGAAGCACATGCATTTCAGACCCCTTGTGTTGGTAAACTGTGCATTATATATTCAGGTGCTAAAATCCTGTTGCTTTGGAGTTTAGCCCAATGAGCATTTAGATGTATTTTTTCATCGTATTTGATCTGATTTAATATTTTAGGTTGATTTATCAATGCACGCTGTTTTAAAAGGAGCCATTTAGCAGCTTGCTGACTTGGCTTTGCACCTTTGACCTAAATAATCAGGCATCCGTGAATGCAGTTTTTGGATGTCAAATTTGAGCTCACTGAAACATGCTCCAGTTTCTCTAAACGCCACTGTCACATGCTTGAATCCATTCAGGGTGTGTGTTTGCTGGCTGAACGCTGATGATGATAAGTGATTTTTCAGCCCGGTTTCGTCCTTTGAAGTGCTCTCTGACTAATCTTTCTCGGCACATGTTTATGACATCACGCTGTGATGGTTGGGAAATTAGAGCATGAGGAACTGCTGCTTGTTGACCTCTGACTGCAGTTAAATCAAGATGAATTTAAACTTTGTGCATCCCAGGACATTGATCCCAAACACCCACACTCATTATTGGAAGCTTTTACTGGAACACAGCTGCTATGCAAATGGAAGATTTGCTTTTACTGCAATTAAAGACCACTTTAATCCACCGAGAGCTGGAGTGACTGCTGGAGCGCTTTACAGAGATGGGGGGTTTTAATGGTCTATGCTCAAAAAGTCGCCAAAAATCGAAAACCAAAAGTTGTTTATTTTCCTTTTACGTGTATGTTGACAGATTGTGGAACGGTTATTGGCTGCGGGTAAATCTCACGAAAATATGTCCAGGTCACATTTCAGTTCAAAATCAAAAAGTAAGAAATAAGAAATTATATTTTGCATAAAACAAAACCTTTGACTTTCTTTCTTCTGGGGAACATATTGGAGAAATATGTCAGTGTTTTTTTTCCCATACAATGGAAGTCAGTGGTCACCAAAACTGTTTGGTTCAAAATATATATGTTTTTTTCCGTGTTCCACAGAAGTAAGGAAGTCATACAGGTTTGTAATGACATTTTCTACCAGAAACACTGTAAATGCATACATTTCATTTATGATAAAGACTAAAGAGATTTTCAACTGTTGTAAAAACAAACAAACAAAAAAAGTTACCCCAACATATTCTTGACTTGAGATTCACACATGTATGTGAGAAAACGACAAGCTAATCAGGAAGTGCCTTTTTTGATCTGATAAAGACAAGTATCAGTGTATTTGTTTGTGTTTGAGAAAAACTAACCAGATTCAGTCCTTCATCCATAAATTGTGCATTCATTGGTATTGTGTTTACTAGGGCTGGGTATCGATTCAGATGTTCCAATTCGATTCGATTTCGATTTTCAAGCTCTCAATTCGATTTCGATTTTCGATTCGATATTCGATTTCAATTCGATTTTTGATTTCGATTCTCGATTCGATTTGACTATATGAATGAATATAGATTTAATACAAATCCTATATTTATAAAAAATGAACAGTGAACATAAGATTACAAATGGTTAATTAATAGGAAATTAAGAGCCACAAACCTGTATATTAAACACTTTTTATTTTAGGTACACTTGGGTACAATAAAACAAAACCCAACTCTATATTTCAAATGCATACAATGAATAGACAGAATTTTGATGCAAGATGAAAAACTGATGCTGAAAATTGGACAAGTCAGAACAGTCGCATGCCTTGATCAAACAGGGATCAGGTTATTTTATGTTTAAGACAAAACAAACATAAAATCTCACAGCATTAGCTGTAACATGGAGGCTGCAAGCCTATGAACACTATTACAAATGTTTATGGCTTAATTCTTTTTCCAAACATTGCACCATGAAACTTTTTGGGAAAATAGTTGGTCCAAATAGGGGTGTGCGATATTGACAAAAAATAATATCTCTATATTTTCTTGGATTTTATCGATAACGATAATTAGATGATAATTTGCTGAGTGTGTTATTGTGCTGTGTGCACTGATAGAAATTAATCTTTTCCAATAAGTTTAAATTGATTTTTACCTTTTATGGGCATTTTTACCTTTATAAAGCCATTTTTCTAAAAGTGTGCATTATCTTTTGAGGCAAACCAGTGTTTGGAACAACTTGATGGTTGTTTTCATTTTTGGGTGAACTATCCCTTTAAGCAATTGTTATATAGTGAATATAGTCACTGATAAAAGATCTGTGAATGGCTACTCTACACTTTGTGCGCCATTGACTTCCATTCATACGCATTCACAAATGCAAGTTCATACAAAGAATATCACATTTCACATGAACATTTTATTTTATTATTGACCCTTTATGTGTATTTTTTTACTTATATTAGGCTAGTATTATGTGGAATGTGTAATTGTGAAATTTCAGTGTCATCTAAGATTTTGTTGAACGCGCGAAACGGAGGGGTAGGTGAAAGGGGAAGGGCTAAGGGGTAGAATTGGGATTGGGCCTTGATATCTACTGTGTTTGTGTTATAAGACAAAAACAGCATCCAGGTTCAGGAATGTTTGAAATTGGGAATTAGTTTAATGGAATTTGGCTGTGTATAAAAGTTTTTTTTTGTTGCTTTTTTTGCGTGCTCTCTGCAGGGTCCTGTGGAGCTGGGAGACTCCGCCCATTCCTGCCAGAGAACCGTAAATATGACGGAGACTAATGAGAATGTCCCGACCTCAGAAACATCCCAGAATTTCCCAGAATCCCAGTCCCAGAACGACATCTCCATTAGGTTCGGACTATTTTAGTAGTTAATATTGTGTCTGAGTAAATATTTGAACTTATTATTAGTATAAGTTGTTTCCATTTACTCATTGTGTGGATTAGATTAGATAAAGTTTTCAATTTTTTCTATAAATTTACACATTACAGTACATAATAGGTATGTAATGATATCAAAATCTCACGATACGATAATATTGCGATATGAAGTCCACGGTACGATATTTATTGCAATATTTTTTTTTAAAAGGCAAATGAAGAATTGGAAAAACAAAAAATTTTGTAAATTTTAAAGTTAAATTATTCTATCTAATGCACTTTGAGAGTTCAAAATTAAGAGCTCCAACGTGTGTGTGTGTATATATATATATATATATATATATATATACATATACACTATATATATTATTTCAGTAGTGTGGCAGAAGTGTCTGACACATGCTTGTCAAGTCTGGACAGCAGCTGTACATCCGCACGAACACGCCCACTGCTGACCTGCAGGAGACGACGTCTTATCCACCCGAACACTGTCCACAATCTCAACGGCAAGGTGCGTTTGGGTGAAGTTTGTTGGTATGAATGTATCAACATTCCAGGAGCACATTTTTGGCTGATTTTGAAGAGTATCTGAAGTAAGCTTCATTCCTTTATCAGTTTCAGAGAGTGTCTTTCTCACCTCCAAGCGTGTGCGAGGTCAACGGCTCGTGTATCATGTGTGGCAGTACTCCTCCCCTCTCCAAACCAGACTTACCGTTTAATCGCCCTCTGCTGGAGAGAGTTGCACATCAAGACCGCAGCATCCACCCTGTTCTTTCCATGCAGTCGGGTGAGATGCACAGTCAGATGCAATTAGAGCTAACAACTATTTTCACAATAGATTTTTCTGCAAATATACAGTGTGATTTTATGTATACAGTATGGCGATATCACTTTATATAAAATGGTTTTACTATATAAAATGATTTTAAAAAGTGTATATATTGTGTATACATATGTATGTTTTTTAAAACATTTTATTATTTATAGGCCTATATATATAATATATATATATCTGCTGGAAAATTGAAAATGATGGACTGGCCCCCTCAAAGTCGCTCTATTTGGTTAGCTTATTTTTAAAATTAGATAATAAACAAAATATATGTAAGGAATAATTGACGACGGGCCGTTGAATTCTTGGAAAATAATGCACACCCGAGGTAGTGATGCAGCCACAACGTGAAGTGTTTTTTCTACTTAAATGCTTTTGAGATGTAGTGAATTTGCTTTCGCCAATCTAGGGAGGCGAAATAATGTAGTGATGGGTACTCACGTCACCAATGACGTTATGATTTTTGGATTACGTGTCACTTAAGGTGTGGTTATGAGTACATCACATAAGAAAGATTGGTGGAATCTCCAATTTGTAGATTTTATTAACAAAAGATAGACAAGAGTAATGAACAACTACTAAATGAATACCATAAATGAAATAGGAATAAAGTGCATAAGATGCATAAAATGCAAGTGATTATGTTGAGTGTTGCTTTGTCAGAGCTACATTATCTGGAAAGATAAACTGTTGCTACTCTGAAACAAATAAGGTGAAGCACCTTATTATGCATCAAACAAATATGTGAAAGATTATTTATCAACTGCAATAAGCTATATAACATCTAATGTAAATTAGAAAAATCATATACTGATAATATACAACAATGCCAAGGTCTCTGGAAGAGGTTTGGATAAGTGATATTTACGTTCTCTGCGATCGAGTGAGCAGTCCGGTTGCGGTGACTTCTTCCACTGGTTGCGCTGGTAACAATGCAGTGGGGAAAGGAGCAGGAATCTGTTTCAACAGCCTTGAACACGAAGCGCTGTAGGATGCTGATCTCCACTTCGTCTCACTAGGATGGAGACTCGGGACTGCTGCATCGGTTGTTGTCTCGCTGGACGAAGACTCTAAACGTAGAATATCTCTCTCCTCGCAGGCTGGAGGCTCAGAACCTGGTCGTATCTGTTGCTGCCTCACAAGCTGGAGACTCAGGACTTGGTATCTGTTATTGCTGCTTCCCGCATGGGCCAGAGGTTCAGAACGTTGGTGTTTCTGTCTCTCGGGATAGGAGACTCAGAACGAGTGTATCTGCTAGTGTCTCACCCTTTCAGGCCGAAGACTCAGAACGGTGTATCTGCTATTGTCTCTCTGGATGGGAGACTCATCTGTTACAGTCCTTTCCTTGACAGGACTCAGACTCAGAACTTCGGTGTTTCTGTTAGTGTCTCTCCCTTTCGGGACTTTGACTCAGAACAAGGTTGTAGCTGTTATTGCCTCTTGGGAAGGTACCTTACTACCTTTATCTCTTTCCAATGAGGAGGGGATTGCAGTCTGGCGCTTCTCCATTTCCAGGCTGTGATTGGCTGTTTCCATCAGAGTGGCCCACCCTTCTTTCCTTATTTGCATAGTCTAAACACACATTTAGAAAAGTGTCACTAAATTTTTACCAATGCATCATTCACTTACCAAACCACAACCAGAATACCTTTGGCAATGTTACGAACACATTAAGTCCGAACATGATGGAAGAAGATTGAACTGTCATGCATGCATTCATTTGTTCATTAACAGCTGGTTTTGTGTAAGATGTTGCACTACACGTCGCTGTCACTGAGAATACTTATTTCTCTGAATAAGTATGAGATGTGTGTTGTAGTTTGCACCAGTTTAAGGTTTGAGAACATAGTTATGAATGAGTTTGGATGGAACTCTGTGATCTTTCTCTTTGTTTCACCCACTGCTGCTGCGTCCAGAGGTCCTAAGGAATTTTTATGGCGGTCACAGGCCAAAACCTGAGGAATCAGTTTGTTGGTCGGTGAAGGGCAGAAACTGCATTTTGACCAATAGGAAGTCCTGTCCTTCCCGGGCTTTGTACCAAAGGTCTCCTTCTTGCCTTCTAAGAGGTGTCTGGCTGTTGTCCTGGCATCTTTATCTGATGGCATTGGACAGTTTGCTTATGTTAGTCCACCAAGATCCAATCAAAATGTAGCAAACCTTTGTCCACTATTGTGGTCAGAGAGGGGCCCCTCCATAAACTGGGCCCTGGAATGTGCTGTCCACTACAGGAGTATGGAGTGCCAATGCCTCCGTTGCTAATTCCAAAACGTCATTTTAAACCTAGTAACGGAGGTTTGAGTTGTTGAGAGCAGAATAATGCAGTTAATAACTAAGTTATCAGAGAGAGAGAATTACCTGCGAGTCTGTGAATCTCTTAAAAGTGTTCGGCAGCAGTGTCTCTAGTAATAGTGAAAGTTTGTTCATTTTCTTCACTAACAGCGCTATTGTTGTTAGTCCTGTAGTTTTCAAGTTGTTAAACTATCTAATCGTGATTAATCGCATCCAAAATAAACGTTTTTGTTTGCATAATATATGTATGTGTACAGTGTATATTATGTATATATAAATACACACACACACACACAGTATATATTTTGAAAGTATATACATTTATATATTTATTTTTATATTATGTATAAATATATTTAATATATAAACATAACATATTTTTCTTAAATATATACATGCATGTGTTTGTATTTATATATACATCATAAATATACACAGTATAAACACATATTATGTAAACAAAAACTTTTATTTTGGATGCGATTAATCGTTTGACAGCACTAATTTAAAATGTCCTTGCTGAATAAAAGTATTAAAAAGGTTTTGACCCCAAACTTTTGAGTGGCAGATCTAAAAATGAGAAGAAGAAAAAACCACTGGATTTTTTTCTTTGTGATAATGAAACAATTTTAAGTGCTTCCTGCTGTTCTTCTCCTGTGGCGTCTCTGTGTTTAGGATCTGAGCAGCAGTGACCTCATCAGACAGCGTCTCTTCCTGGTGTGTCAGATCATCCGTGTGGGCTGCATGGAGCTGAAGGAGGGAAAGAAACACACAGGAGGACTGAGGAGGCCGTTCGGAGTAGCAGGTTTTGCACTTAGAAATAGATTCTTTATTGTTAGTAGATGGTTTATTTGTAGAGGGTCCAGATGTTTCTTAGTTGTTCTCTTCATTTCACACTTCATATTTGTCATTTGTTTAGAAACACCAACCAACCTTAATGGTAAAAAATAATTTTGTGCCACTAGCTTAGTGTTGCAAAATTGCATAGAATTATTTTCAGTCAGATTTTCCAAACCCTGTGTTTGCCCATAGATGGACAGTTAGTTCTGGTTAAAGGAATAGTTCAATCATAATAAAAAATTGCTAAATAGTTACTCCCTCTGAGGCCATCTAAGATGTAGATGAGTTTGTTTCTTTATCTGAACAGATTCTGATAAATTTACATCACTTGCTCACCAATGGATTCTCTGTAGTGAATGGGTGCCGTCAGAATGAGAGTCCAAACTGCTAATAAAATGTATGTGTGTGTGTGTGTGTATATATATATATATATATATATATAATATACAAATGTATAATATAGTATCATTGTTGTCAGAAGTTCACCATTCACAGATTCTCAATTTTATTTATGAATTGTTCCAGTCCTAGATTTGTTGAAATTTCATAAATTGTAATGATTCTGTCTATAAATTTTTTTCTCCTTTGCTCCTCTGGTTTGTCTGTCAGATGTGGCTCTCAGCTTACAGTTGAAGAAGGTCTTGAGATCTCATTGGCAGACTCGTCCGTTTGACAGGATCAAATCGCTGAAGAAGATCTCTCTCAAACACAAGCTCTCCATCACACCTGCCTCCTCCTTCCTCTCTAAACACAAATTCAGACTGTCAAACTCGCATGCAGCTGCTGTCCGTAAGTACACACACATTTCTACTCACAGCCACTGACTGTGACAGAGTGACTGAAGCCATTCATTATTCATTCTTTCTCTCTGTCAGGGTTGGCCCATCACAAGAGCAGGTCGCAGAGGCTGCACAGGCTGCAGGTGGACAACATCTCATGTGTCCCAAAGCTGGACACACTCACACCCTGCAGGCCGGATCGTGTACTGCACCAGAGTCACAGCAGGAAGAGGGTCAGAGAGCATTCACTGGACAGAGCAGACTGTGAGTGCAATGCTTTCCATACAAACATGACCCTAAATATGTCTTAAACGGCCTGTCTAATGAATGCTTCTGGTTATTTCAGCTATGCACAGTTACTGACAACAGCATAAAATAAATCATGCAGTCATAAAATCCCGTTTCAGTAGACTGAGCACCCAGGGTCAGATATTAATGGGGGCTTGGGGCAAAAAAGACACTAAAATTGAATGCAAGATACCAGGGTAAATAACGCCCCTGCACAATTAAACTGAAACAGTCATGACTGTCATGTTGAAGTGAAATGTGAACATAAAAAGTCTTGATTATGGCATTACATTTAGATACTGTATTATAATAAGCATTCATCAAGGGCATTCATTTTTTTGTCAAAATATTGCAGCCCTATCCTGTAATGAGCTCTTGTTTTTTAACTTTATAATTTACTTTATGTAGGCTATTTAAAATGATATTAATCTCATACCATTATGCCATGTCGGATGCAGCTCTTGTGCCACCTTTGCAAGTCAAGTCACCTTTATTTCTATAGCGCTTTATACAATACAGATTGTTTCAAAGCAGTTTTACAGTGATAAACAAGGAAATAGTGATTCAGTGATGTAAACAAAAAATTCAATTCTACCGAAAAGCTGCTCTAAAAAGACAAGAGTAAATAGTGTAAAATTACTTTTGTTCATAACATTTTATTGATAAAATACTGTAGTATTCTGATTGATTGAATCAATTCATTCATCCATTGAAATATGGTCTCTTAATGCAAAAGTACATTTTTGACCATGGTACCAAACAGCTCAGTGAGACCAACACACCATTTAATTTGAAATTAAAGGCACAATATATAAGATTTTTTATTTTTTTTTATATCCAAAAACTACTAGAACAGTGTTATATATTTTCCTGACTTGTGTACTTACATTATCCCAAATGTTTCGAAGAATGTTTAAATCCAGAGAAATAAGCAATTTTAACTAGTGACACGGACCGTGTCTATAGTGCCATTGTGTCGCCTGCCCATGACGTCATAACCCCTCGATTTTTGGAAACACCAAAGACGCTTTAATATGTTGTGCGTTTTATTAGACAGAATGTCGTGGAAAAGTTCATTTATTTCAGTAAACTCCCATGATTCCACACTCAGTCACGGCGCCATCAAACTACGCCTTTGATTCTTTGTTTATTTTGAATACGCGCCATCTAGCGGCGAAAAATTACATATTGTTCCTTTAAATGGTCAATAAGCACATATGAGTGTCTTATATGTGTATATATCTTTTTTCATTTTTCCTTTCCTCATATAGCACCAAAAGTGGTGATGGATGCATGTCCAAGTCCATGTGCGTCTCTGTCCAGCCTTCACTCCTCCAACACCAGTCCCTTGACCAGACAGCTCTCCCTCCCCGTTGAGAGCAGCACTCCTCTGGGAAACAGCGTGGTACGTTCATTATTTTCTGTACAATAGTTTTGGTCTGAGCCAAAAGCGTTCTTGACATGTGGCACAGTTAAACTTTAAGTGACTCAAGTTTGAATCCCAGCTTGTGGGACAGCCACATCCCCCTTCCCCCTCCACGTTGCTTCCTAGCCAATCAACAGTATACTGTCTAATATTGGCAAAAACATGCCAAAATAAATCTTAGTGCAGTCTTAAATGGTACTTAACACATAGGGCTTAAATTTAGGGATGAAAGAACAGGAATCATAATATGTCCTAATAGTGATTGTTAAACTTTATATTTAAACAAATGTCAGCATTGTACATTCAAAGTCAGAATACGGTGCTCTTGTCAGGATTTTATTATTTTCTGTACAATAGTTTTGGTCTGAGCCAAAACCGTTCTTGACATGTGGCACAGTTAAACTTTAAGTGACTCGAGTTTGAATCCCAGCTTGTGGGACAGCCACATCCCCCTTCCCCCTCCACGTTTATATCAAAAACATGCCAAAATAAATCTTAGTGCAGTCTTAAATGGTACTTAACACATAGGGCTTAAATTTAGGGATGAAAGAACAGGAATCATAATATGTCCTAATAGTGATTGTTAAACTTTATATTTAAACAAATGTCAGCATTGTACATTCAAAGTCAGAATACGGTGCTCTTGTCAGGATTTTAAATAGAGCTCATGTGTTCACTTTTCATTCATGTTTTAAACAGCCCGTTCGGAGAAGAAGAGGCGAGAGTCCGTTTGATATCAACAACATCGTCATTCCAATGTCAGTGGCCGCCACCACCAGAGTGGAGAAGCTTCAGTACAAAGAAATTCTCACACCCAGGTGTGTCTCCAAGTCACTCACAGTGCCTCCATTAAAGCTGACTGTATCATATTTGATACGCAAATTTATAAGCCCTAAAATGATAAACATGATCAAAACGCTCTGAAAAACCTGTTGTACACAATCTACTACATGCTTTTTGCCATCTGATTGATAGTTTAGACTTTTATAGCAAGTAAAGTTTCCGTATAGTTATAAAAACGTTGCCCTTCAGGTGTCTTTTTGCTGTGAAAAGATTTTTATAAAGTAAATGTAAAAACAATCTTAAGAATTTCAAGATGAACACTTATTAGACTGAAATAATTTGAGTTTACTTGACTATTCATACATATTATTATTATTGTATTATTATTTATTTATTTTTGAAAAATCATGTTAAATATGACATGATACATCAGGTGTTTGAGGCCTTTGAGGAACATTCATTTGTTCATCTCTCAGTCATCATTGTATTGCATTGCATTCTATGTTTTGCCCCCCATTAAAAACAACAGAGCTTTGATCGTAAAAACTAAACATTAAATATCATCCTATTATGACATATTATTGAGAGAGTCTGTTTATTAAGTAGTCTGCTACACTGTTATAAAGATCCCATTGATTTAAATTACAAGCTATCGGAATTTCATCTTTTTGGCCATATAAATATCAGCAAATGCCCCAGTTGCATAATTTTCTTCAGTTTGGAAAATTGAGGTGTTTTCCTTCTCAAGTTTGAGCTCCATATCCTCAGGATCATACTATATGGGTCATAAAATCCTGATGTATCAAATATGATACTGAACAAAAAACACACATGCAAACATTTTTTTTATTTTGTCTAAAGGTTTAATAAACTGTTCCATTTCAAACATCTGCTCTACTCACACTTATTTTTGTTGTTCAGATGGAGGGAAGTGGACATTTTAGCCAAACCACTGGCAGAGGAAGACAGTAACATTCCGGTATAACAGCCATCTGTTTTTTCCTCCACTCATTTCTCATATATTCCAATTCAACCTCTTGTCGATCCTTATTAGTGATGTGACCCATGTGATTGATCCGTGTAGGTGGAGGACCTTTCAGAAGGAGCGTTCGCTAAACTCCACCAGACGTTAGAGGATCAGGAGCGCTCTCGCTGGCGATGGACGGCTCTCGCACCCGCCAAGAGGAGAGGCAGCAGGTACCTGCCCTACTTGATCTTATCAGACAACGTTTTTCCTGTTTTGTGAGTTTATAGTTAACCATGTCGTTCCACAGGTCCTATAAATCCCTGGACGGGCGAACGACACCTTCAATAGTGGGAACGAACCCTTCGACGCCTCAGCCCTCATCCCCAGACGCAAGTCACTTCCACCTCCTGCAGGACTACGGACCGGTGCCGTCACCCCTGAGCCCACCCAGCCCTGACACGCCGTGCTCCCGCGACGCACACACACCTCACACCAGAGACGCACACAGACTGCTGTACAGCGAAGACACGTGCGGCTCCACTTCAGACTGCACCTTTGAGGAGATGGTAACATACACGCATTCTCACGCCAGTTTCATGATCATCATCCTGCTCGTTTTCTCCATAGAAAAAAATTTTAATTAAAAAATGCGCTTCTATTTTACATCCTGCTTTCTAAAGAGCAATCTATTGTAAGCGCTAGTATTTCTGGAAAAGTGTTTATCTTTTTTGTCTCTGTCTCATCGCCACAGTCACAGCTTAATCAATTAAGTGAACGTTTACCTTCGGTTAACATTTAATAGTGGGTATGAAAAATTTTAAAATGGACTTTCAACTTAATACAATGTAAAAAAACAATTAAATAAATAAATTATATTTTACTTTTTTGGCCTTACAGGAACGGTGTAAAAGACAATTATTTAATTTAGTAAGATTTTGAAGCATTGTTTTTATATAACATAACAAAATAAAACATAAATGTGTCTATAGATGAAAATAAACTATTGTTTAGTCAAAAGTTTGTCTTTTCAAAAATATAGCAAAAACGAATTAAATAATTCTGTAAATTATATAAATATGAATACAATTTAAAATGACTCTTTTCTGTTTTAATATCTTAAATTCCTGTGATCAAAACTGAATTTTTAGCATCATTACTCCAGTCTTCAGTGTCACATGATCATTCAGAAATCATTCTAATAAGTGACCCTGGAGCACAAAACCAGTCTTAAAGAGTTAGTTCACCCAAAAATGAAAATTAGCCCACAAATTAAAGAAAAAATGTAAACGAGATGTATGAAAGTTGTTTCCATAAATGTTTTCATAGTCAGCTAAATATATCATTGGGACTTGGTGTGGTATTCTAACCTGTCAGGTGAACACTATGTAGTGCACTGTGTAGCAGACTTAAGAGGGCTTGATCAAAGGGTGCCTCTCTGCTGACTTATATATGTATGCTTGTGTTGTGAAGTGACAAACCAAAACCTGACGAAAATACTTGTCCGTGTTATTCTCGATTGGCGGTCACGTTCCAAGCAGAGATCTCCTCCGTTAAAAAGCACTTCACGGCCTGTCAATATCTTGCTCTCTTCCTCGACCCTCCCTTTTTAATAATTTCCAACCAGCATATGGAGTGTGGCTATGCTGATGGTCATGGCATTATGTATCTCAATGTTAATGGAGAAATTGCAAGCTCTGCGAAACAAAGCCTTTTAGTGCACATTAGTTTAGCTCTCACACTTGGGCCCTTGCGTGTTCCAGGCTCCTTCTACATCATCTGTTGAGGTTGTACTTTGTATTCCTTCTGAAAGGAGCCAGATGTTTCACACAGACCTGCCCTTCTCAGGTTATGCAGTTGTATGGAAACTTGTGTTAACAAGGCGTCTGCTTTTCTTTCACTTTGTCGGTGTGACCCCATATTAGTGTTCTTATTCCGCACTGTCGCCCCTTCGAGAATCTACTTGCTATGCAACTCAACATTATTGTTGTGGCCCTGTCCTTTTTCTTTTTCATACAATCACAATTGTCTTTTTTTAATTTACTTTGATGTGTCTTTCTCTTCATAGCTGTTTGAGACAGGTTTCATTGTAATTCAGACTGTTTCAGATGTTAAATCATTTGCAGAAAAAAGAAAAGAAAAAGAAAAACACCCTTTTGTAAATAGTACCATTAAAACAAATCAAACTCCATTCAGGTTGTACGTCTCATCACTGTGCTGTAACGATAAAACAACCAACCGTATTGATTTTCTGCCACATCTTCTACATTGGAGGCAAGCGTAGAAACTGATGCCTTGTTTGTGCTTGTGCTTTGTTTTATAAATGGGAATGTGGAAATAAAAAAATACATACAGAAACACTATTTAATTTCTTTACTACAAATTCTATTCTTAACACCCTGTGTTTTTTTACCCTGACAGACGGTCCAGCCCTGGGAACCCAGGAGTTTTCCTTTACCTGAGGACCCGATAGTGGAGCCCGAGACAGACAAGAGTCAACCGAGCTTTCCTACAGGCTTCAGAGCCGACGCCCACTGCAGGGCGGAGTCAGAGAGCGACGCTTCCTCGCCGTGACGATTAACCGATTAACGACCTTAAAACCACACCTCCTATGGCATTAATTGAGAAGAAAACTCATACTAATCAAAACAAACAAACAAAAAAATCTGTCAGGACTTCTGTTGTTTGATATTCAAACATCACCCAATTATTTTCACAGTTTTTAGTGAATATTACCGAACATAGAAAGCTAAACCTGTCTTCTAAAACTCTTTTCTCAGAAGAAAAAATGTAAACGAGATGTATGAAAGTTGTTTCCATAAATGTTTTCATAGTCAGCTAAATATATCATTGGGACTTGGTGTGGTATTCTAACCTGTCAGGTGAACACTATGTAGTGCACTGTGTAGCAGACTTAAGAGGGCTTGATCAAAGGGTGCCTCTCTGCTGACTTATATATGTATGCTTGTGTTGTGAAGTGACAAACCAAAACCTGACGAAAATACTTGTCCGTGTTATTCTCGATTGGCGGTCACGTTCCAAGCAGAGATCTCCTCCGTTAAAAAGCACTTCACAGGGCGTCAATATCTTGCTCTCTTCCTCGACCCTCCCTTTTTAATAATTTCCAACCAGCATATGGAGTGTGGCTATGCTGATGGTCATGGCATTATGTATCTCAATGTTAATGGAGAAATTGCAAGCTCTGCGAAACAAAGCCTTTTAGTGCACATTAGTTTAGCTCTCACACTTGGGCCCTTGCGTGTTCCAGGCTCCTTCTACATCATCTGTTGAGGTTGTACTTTGTATTCCTTCTGAAAGGAGCCAGATGTTTCACACAGACCTGCCCTTCTCAGGTTATGCAGTTGTATGGAAACTTGTGTTAACAAGGCGTCTGCTTTTCTTTCACTTTGTCGGTGTGACCCCATATTAGTGTTCTTATTCCGCACTGTCGCCCCTTCGAGAATCTACTTGCTATGCAACTCAACATTATTGTTGTGGCCCTGTCCTTTTTCTTTTTCATACAATCACAATTGTCTTTTTTTAATTTACTTTGATGTGTCTTTCTCTTCATAGCTGTTTGAGACAGGTTTCATTGTAATTCAGACTGTTTCAGATGTTAAATCATTTGCAGAAAAAAGAAAAGAAAAAGAAAAACACCCTTTTGTAAATAGTACCATTAAAACAAATCAAACTCCATTCAGGTTGTACGTCTCATCACTGTGCTGTAACGATAAAACAACCAACCGTATTGATTTTCTGCCACATCTTCTACATTGGAGGCAAGCGTAGAAACTGATGCCTTGTTTGTGCTTGTGCTGCTCCTGACAACAGGGGAAAAGGATTTTCAATGCCTGGTGCAGACGTGTGAGAAATTGCATATTCGGCTATTAAGAAAATGGCAGGACTTGATTTTATCCATCAGGAGTTAATTAGATCATGAAGAGGTTACACAGGAGTATGGAGCCATACCTGAATGCTTCTTGCAAATAATTATGGAGTACCACAGGCTTTTTCACACCAAGTACAATAACTAAAACTATAAAGACTGAATTACTGTAATTCTATGAGAATATGGAAAGATAACACAGAGGAACGAAATCTTCGGAATCATTTTCAGAACGGTTTCTTTTTTTCTCTCCAGTTGATGTTTGATAAAACACTGACAGCCAATCAGAATCCACCACATTTAAAGCGGCAGATGAGCGCGCCAATGAAAGAAACTGAACGATATCTTGCGTTTGTGTGGACGCTAGGCTAATGTAATTATCATCATGGTTATCTTTGTTGTCGTTATTGGTGTAAACAGCTTTATTGCTACCAACTGAAACACTGCCAACACTAGTGAGAAGACTCTCTGACTGGGACATGGTCATGTTTTCCACATAGACTGTATAAAAACGGTTTTCCAATGGTAAGTTGTCTTTCTTCCTTTTTTAGACTTTTTGAGTAATATTTATGTTAAATGGACATTTAAATGGCTCTAACTTACTGACAATATTTTATGCTGTCAATGCTGTTTTACCTGAAAAATATCAATTTCAAAAATCGAAACTGCTTTTGATGTTACAAACCCTTAATGATACATCATCCTATATTACAAGAAATTACACATCTTTGCGAAATTTAATAGCTCCTGTTTGTCTTTATACTTGGGCCAAAATAAATTAGGCCTACTGAATTTTAGTTTAGACAAACAAGTTAAATTAAATTGAAATGTTTACTTAGGTTTACTCTTTTAAAATATTTTTTACTCTAATACTGGGTTGGGGATAAAACATTTAACACTTATATGTTATGTATAAATGTGTACACTGAAAAACAGATTTTTTTTTTTCTCCCCACAGAAGTTCATATTTTTGTCTCAAATTTGACGTATAGCCTACATTATTTAGGCCAGGATATACCCAGGCAGCTACATTGGGGAGCAAGGGGGTCTATTTTTGGCCTACTTTTTTGAAATGTTGAATGATGAACACAGTGAGACCAAAAATATGTATTAAGAAAGTGAACTGGGTCAGTTTTGATTTCATGTTCACTTTAACAAGGAATCCTTCATGCTAAATTTTCCTTCTAAGCCAGGGCTGTCCAAACTCGGTCCTGGAGGGCCGGTGTCCTGCAGAGTTTAGCTCCAACTTGCCTCAACACACCTGACTGGAAGTTTCTATGCCTAGTAAGAGCTTGTTTAGCTGGTTCAGGTGTGTTTAATTAGGGCTGGAGCTAACCAGGGCTGTCCAAACTCGGTCCTGGAGGGCCGGTGTCCTGCAAAGTTTAGCTCCAGCCCTAATTAAACACACCTGAACCAGCTAAACAAGCTCTTACTAGGCATAGAAACTTCCAGTCAGGTGTGTTGAGGCAAGTTGGAGCTAAACTCTGCAGGACACCGGCCCTCCAGGACCGAGTTTGGACAGCCCTGTTCTAAGCCCTTTGAATTCTGGTTTAAAGGGACAGTTCAGCCAAAAATGAAAATTCTGTCATCATTTACTCTCTCTCAAGTTGTTCCAAATCTGTATGAGTTTTTTTTCTTTAGCTGAACACAAAAGACATTTTGAAGAACGTTGGTAACAAAATAGTTCGGTAGCCATTGGTTTTTTGCCATACTGTAAAGGTCTATAAATGGCTACCAGCAACTGTTTGGTTACCAACATTCTTCAAAATATCTTCTTTTATATTCGGCAGAAGAAAGAAATTCCTACAGGTTTGGAAATTGAGGGTGAGTCAATGACAGAATTTTCATTTTTTTGTGAACTTTCCTTTTAAGCCAGTTAAGTCATAAAAACAAAAGTATCAGGCCATTAGCTTAATATCCTTTATTTCCAAATTCACATGTACATCAACAATAATCATTGTAAACCAGTTATTAATAAAACACACGAACAATATTGACAACCACAGTTCCCAAGCTAAAATGTACAACTGCAAAAATGGTGTATGGAGTCAATGTCAACAGGATGGCAAACTGCACCCAGAACCATGTCGCAGGTGTGCTATAGAGTGAGACATTTAAACCAAAGGACAGACTGACTTTCTTTCCCTCTTCCTGTCCGCTGAACACTCACTTCCCCTCTCATCACAACACCAAAACCGTAACAAGCAGCTTATCCCATATCCAAACTCTCCCGACCTTCCCAAAACCACCCTAGTCAGAAAACGTTCAGAAACTTGTTGCCAATTCATGTAAAAACTCAGCATGCAGATTAAAATGTTGCAGGCATGGTTTCTGAACTTCTCTGCTTATTTTTTTGAAGTCTCTTCAAGTCCTTATATAACCATACAGTCATAAACATACATTAAATATCTAATGGTAGTTACACGGCTCCATCTCCAACACAAAGAAACAGGGGTCGCCGTCTGAGTAGTGCTCTTTTCCACTACTATCTACATAGATTCCTAATAACATCAGCGATTATGGGATATACGCAAGTAGAGGCAACGCAGTATCTCGGGCTGCTTACATGAAATGCATGCAAGGAGCAAAAATCATGTGGAGTGGTTCGAAGCTCATTAAACATTCTGCGATAGTGCAGGGTCATTACATCATTGTTCAGTACAACAGAAGACCATTTTTTACATTTTACAGCTATAAAGTGGAAGCGGATGATGTGGTCACATGTGACAGATCGAAGTTGAACGGCATGCTTGTGCTCGAGCGACGCTTTCTGTGAAGAATACAATACTTGATATAGTTCATGTCGCCAGAAAATTTATAATACAGTGCGTGCCTGAAGAAGAACAGTTTGGCAATTCATCTCATAAATGATTTCTCAGCTAGAGCTGGATGTCGTAGCGAGAAATGAGAGGAACTGTTGGCAGTATTATGGAGGAAGTTTACAGGTGCATAGGTTGTTTTTCCACAAGATATTTCAAATAGCGTTCAGATTTCTCACATGCAACCTGTTTTTAATAAAACAGTAACACTTTACGATAACGTTAGTCAATGCAGGTTGAATCAAACAAAAAGAGCTATTTTTATTCCAGGTCAACTTATTTCCTGTTGTTCGTTGTTAGTAAATAAATGTTCAAATGCATTAGTATATGCAGAAATGAACATTTATCGAGATTAATAAATGCTGTAAAAGTATAGTTTATTGTTATTTCATGATACCTAATGCCAACAACCTGAACCTCATTGTAAAATGTTACCAATCAAACTGTCCAAAACAGCAGACATGTCCATCTTGGTTAAAACACATGGCTACAATTTTATGTTTATGTTAAAAAATATAAATGGAAGTTGAAATTTTCTGTTAGAGAACAAGCAAACAAACAAAAGGGAGGCGTTTTCAATGAAGCACTGACATAATTCAAACCAATAATTTAAGACTGCCCACAAAAAAAGTGTTTTCATTTTATAAACATCCCATATTCATCCACAGAATAATACTGTAAGAGACGTTTCCTCATTTTAGACGTGAAGTATAATCTCTGATCGACAGCACATACGAGAGATTGAAAAGAACTAAACAGCTTTCAGCTTTCTACACAAAGCTGCTATGCACCTCTTTCTTCACATAAGCCTAGCAAATCATTTCAAACACAAACTGTGGGGCTTTAAGTTTCTTTCTTTCTCAAAGTCAAGATACGATGCTCTAATTTTCATTTTAAGCACTGCTAAGCGGTTTATTCATAATCTCAATCTAATTTTAGCCTGATTTAAAAATGAGAACAATCCTCTCTGAAAGTAAAAATGGGTTCTGTATGAACTGGCCTAAATCCAGTAGTAACCAAAAAATGGCATGCATAAGGAAATATATAATGGTCAACAAAGCCATACAAATACATGAATGTAATTTTGTGCTACTAAATATAGTCAAGGGAGGTCGGTCGGAGGAAATTTCCAATTGCTAAAATTAAAAATTTCCACCGTGGGCACTGCCTTAAAGTGAAGGATGAGGCAAATTCATACATAATTCACAGTTCAAACAGCTTCATTGGCCTATAACAAATCTTAAGTATTACAAAATCGAACAGTGACTGCCAAAAGTTACTTGGCGTTGTTTTCTGGGCCACAAAATGACTTTCAGAGAGAGGTTAGAATACCATCAGGTATGCGGAAGAGAATGGGAAGGGATGGGGTTGTGGGGGCGTGGTTTGGTGGCGGTATGGTCCAATCACAAGCCCTGCTTGGCCAGCGATGCAGACACCTGGTCAGCGAGGGTGGAAAGCTGGGGCGGGCCTGCCATGTTGATGCTGCCAGAAGAGGAGACGGTGCTCAGGCCGTGTGGCGACTCCTCTAGAGACACGATTTCTGCGCCATGGTCGGTTCGCGCTTTGGCCTGCTCACGGAACATCAGTTTGTGCGACTCAATCTGGGAAAAGTAAATATATATGAACGAATGACCGCAAATGAAACCTCTGAGGTGAAATGGAGAGCGTCCAGCGTTGGTTTATGTTGGCTCAGAGCAGGCCTGAGATTCTTGGATGGAGATCCAAACCTAGTTCTGGACTGAATATCTAATGTAATGGTGCTATTTCTATAAACTATTTCCTAGGTGTATTTGAGTTTCTAATACTGAATAATTCTAGATGAGTATATTTGATTTAAGAGCCAGAATATTTATCGAGTACCCTCAAAATGCTGAATAATAATATGCTTAAATGATCAATGAATAAACAATTCATCAAACAATAAAAAAGGCATAAGATGGCATTAAAAGGGACAAAGGAGCAGAGAAAAAAAATCATAAGAAAATAAACGAAATATCAAGAACTTTTTTTTTTAACAAGGTGATTATTTTTGTCAGTTGCTTTTTTGTAATGATGATTTCACATCACTCTGTGCCAGTAGATGGCACCCAAGATGAATTTCACAAGATACTTGTGCAAGCGTACAATTACAAGCAATATACAATTTATTTTGAATTCATTCATATGAAACATTTTGTCTTTGTTCATCTGCCAATTTACACAATTTATTAAGTGATTTCTTATTTGCAAATGGATTTATCAAATGATGATGATGATTATTATTATTATTGTTGTTGCCATTTATTTATTGATTTAATTTAATATAGTTTTTTTATAGGCAAGACACTACAGGCAAAACCATTTTGTTTCATACACTGTTCAAAGAATTTGGCCTATTTTGCTTTTAAATGCTTATTTGTACGGTGGCCGAGAAGTGCAAAGCAAATCACAATTCTGAAAACAAAATAACAAATTACAAACACAAATGCAAGTCTAAAAAACAAAATAACAATTCAGAAAGCACAACAACAATTCAGAAAACATTATAACAAGTCAGAAAACACAATGACAAATTCGAAAACAAAATAACAAGTCAGAAAACACAACGACAAATCAGACAAACCGGAAAAGGTAGGTATAGTTTGAGACAGCGCCATTGGTTTGGGATTACTCACCGCTGACTGGACGAGACATCTGTCAATCAACGTATACAGGGAAGAACCAGCCGAAGAACAGCAGAGTCGTGGTAGAAAGTTCGGAGATGGTATTAAAGTAGCTCAGTTTAAATGTATTGTATGACTTGCCCTTACTCTGGAATAAAAAAATACGGGGTGTCTATTTACGTTTAGTTAAAAGTGGCTGTAAATCATTAGCTCCAGATGGATAAGTGCGTGCCCTTGGCTTTTTGACGCGATCGACCCGGGTTCGATCCCGCCTTTTGCCTAACTTTTTTTCCCTCCCTTTTCAAATCTCGTATTAGCAATGGATTCTATTTACACTAAGTGAAAATACCTATTTACACTGTTAAAATAGCAGGATTTCTACTATCAAGTATACTACTTGTTGCAAATAGTGGCAATTATCTGCACTTCAGTATTGTAGTACATTATAAAACAGTATGCAATAATAACGTATTGAGTGTAAATTATAATTTTAATTTTAATTATTAAATGGATGCCACCTTATTGGTACAATAAAGCCCTCCCTACACCTACCCTAACCGATACTTTATTTTCAACTTTTTGATTATTTCCTTAATTTTTATTGAAAATAAATGCCTTTACGATGGAGATTTGAAAATGGAGGGGAAAAAAGTTAGGCAAAAGCCGGGATCGAACCCGGGTCGATCGCGTCAAAAAGCCAAGGGCTCGCACTTATCCATCTGCGCCACTGAAGCTGATGATTTACAGCCACGAATCCATTGCTAACAGGAGATTTGAAAAGGGAGGAAAAAAAATTTCAGCAAAAGGCAGGATCGAACCCGGGTCGATTGCGTCAAAAAGCCAAGTGCACGCACTTATCCATCTGCGCCACTGGAGCTGATGATTTACAGCCACTTTTAACGAAATGTAAAGAGACACCCCATATTTTTTATTCCATAGTAAGGGCAATTCATACAATACATTGTTACGATAGGAAATTTACAAAATATCTTCATGGAACATGAACTTTACTTATATCCTAATGATTTTTGGCATAAAAGAAAAATTGATAATTTTGACCCATACAGTGTTTTTTTGGCTATTGCTACAAATATACCCCAGCGACTTGAAGGCTTGTTCACACTGGGACGAATATCGCACGCGATTATCGCCGACGTTTAACGCCTCGTGACTAAACAAAGGGCGCCAATGTGAGTGTGCACACCGACGCGCAAAATGCGAGGTGTAAAAAGCGTAATTTAAAAAAAAAAACGCATCGGGCTCGGTTTTTTGGTTTGACGCGCCGAGTTAAAAACTGGCCGACCAATGAGATTGGCGCTTTTGTTCACGTGATCTCGATAAGAGGAAGTTGTTATGGAGAGGAATTGCAGATCAAATAGGATTCGAGTATTATAGTATTTCTGTTTTTCATTAAGCGTCATCTAATGTCAGGGAGTGAATTTGCACGTTCACTCGGCTCATCGCCTGCGAAAATCGCTTGGGTATGAACACAAAAGACGCGTTAAAAAACGTCGGCGATAAGCGCGCGCGATAACGAGGCTTAAGACTAGTTTTGTGCTCCAGGGTCACATTTTATTACACGCACATCTATCTATCTATCTGTCTAGGCTTTTACAAAAGGGTTTGTTGATATATCATCCATCTAATATATATTGAACATTTTATTCTTCAAAACAAACAGAAAATTTAAACATAACATTTCAGAAAAATTGTAATCCAAAACAACTATTCACCTGTAGTGTCTCCAAATATATGACAGTAAAGTTCTAGATAGTTTGATGTGGATATCTCCCCCTCTTTGAATACTTACTGGAGTCCTCAATCTTTATCTGGGGGTTGCTGAGGAGGATGGGCTCTGGGGACATACTGGCAGATGAGAGGGTGGGGGTATCAGAGGGGTCTGGGGTGACGAAGCCCTCATCTCGGGGCGTATCTGCCCCTCTCCCCTTCTCTCTCTAGAAACGTAACCCAGGGTGGCCAATGGGTGGTGAAATGAACAACATGGTCAACCAAAACAGAAGGAAACACAAAATGATATGGGTTCAACAAAAAGGAAAATGATGGTAACACAAAACTAAATAAATAAATAAATATTCAAATTAACGATGAAATATGTAATGCTTATATTTTTTAAATCCCAGTTTAATATGCACAGATATTTCTAAGCAACACATTCACTCTGAAGCTCACGGAATCCAAACAAAGGACAATGAGATGAGATTTCAAAGAAGTTAAATTAGTTCAGGGGATTTATTTAAACCTGATCTTCTAAGAACCAAATGATTCAAACCCAGAGATCACCTGAGACAGATTTACACACGCATGGTTGTAAAATGATAAGGATTTATGAATGCTCCTATTTCACTTTAGGGTGGAGAGTGAATAATTGGAGTATCATATCCCATCAGTGGAGGACATGTCGTCTTACCCTCCTGCTGCCTCCTCCAGGTGTGTGTTTGATGTTTTCCATAGATCCCACCTTTGACTGAGCCTTGAATTCAACCTTCTCAGACCTGATCTCAATGTTTCCTCCACCTTGAAAAGGCAGGTGAAATTCCTCATGATTTAACTAAATTGAATGCATAATTATTTACATGCACTCAAAACGCTAAGTAAATCAAGTCCAAGGTTTGAGCTGTGTTTGCGTTTGGTATCTAAAATCCAAGGTGCATGATTTACCTGGTTTGTGGCGGATGTTGTCTTTCGATCCGCACTTTGCCTGCACATTGGTCAGATCAATCTTTTTGTGGAGGATTTGGACCTTTTCAGAACAAAGAACAAGGGTTTTTATTATTCTTCCAGGTAATTATATAAGATTCTGTTTAAACACACTTTCACAGATTTACACAAGAAAGAGAAAAAGCTGTAACACTTTAGTTTAGGGACAAATTCTCAGTATTAAATAGTTGTTTATTAGCATGCATATTGCTAGCATATTGGCTGCTTATTAGTACTGATATAAAGCACATATTAATGCCTTATTCTGCATGAGCATATATTAGAACCCTTAATCCTACCCCAAACCTAAATTGAACTACCTAAGAGTAGCTACACTTAGGCAAAAGTCATAGTTAAAGGCAGGGTATGTGATTTTTCAAAAACGCTTTAGAAAAAATAGTTCATTAGTATGAGAATTGGCTCCCAAAGTAAAGTGTGACCAAAGAAACTTGAGAAAATGCCAGACAGTCGCAAAAGTACAACTGGTCAGTAAACTTTTGAGTCCCCTGAACGCAAAACACCCTCTTGGTGGTTTAGTCGTCTCTGAGAATACCATTTTTAAAACCAATTTGCATTAATAGAGATGTAATCTAACCTCAAATGATGATGAACCACAACCCCTTCGTTATTTTAAAGTCTTCACTTTAGACCACAGATTGAGGAGACAACATGAGAACGGTACAATTGTGTACCATCCTTGCTCCCCAAAATAGAAGCGATGACCTCATAGCCACAGCTGTTGGGGGGGTTTTTCTGTATAAAAAGGCCTCAGTGTCTTCAGGGTGAGGTCAGCTCTCAGCTCTAGCCAACTGCTCACCACAAAGCAGCACTCGGCTGACCAGAGCGCTACAACAAGAGCCCTCTGTGCTAAAGAGCTGATGTCCTTCAACAGAAGATGAGAGCAACTCATCTTGAGTGCATAAGGATCTCTATGGATCAGCCGCTGGTACTTTTAATGAGTGTTCTGGCTGTCCTTAATGACAGGCCGGTTGGCATTAAGGGTTTGGATTTTAGTGGTGGTCAGGTCATCTGTTTTTGTAAGGAGACAGGCTTTCCTCAAAGTCAAGATCAGTCTTATAATTATATAGAAAATGGAAGTATGGGAGCTTTCTGTTTTGAGTGCAGTGGATTGCTCTGAATGTTCTTCCGAGTAAATGCTTAAACATATAAAGATTCACAATGAATTAATGTTACTGTTTTAGGAGGTTTTGCAAAAGAAAATACGAAAAGCTAACAAAAAATGCAGATTGAGGTGAAACAATTTAATAAACCACCACAAAACACAAAATGTACGAGATTTAGAGGGTGAGTGATCATAAAGTCCTAGCTAAGAAACCATTCAGTATTTACCCTGCATTAATATAAAACACAATACATCAGTACTATACCCATTTAATTGTAAATGCTCATTTGCCATATTTCTACATTTAGAATAAGTGATTTAGATAAATGTAATCTTTAAAAACACTAATGTTTTAATAAATAACACTGTTAAATGTAATCTTAAACAAATCTTAAAATCTTTCATATTGTACATTATGATGATGTGATGCCAAAATTCACTTTTAGCATTTAAAAGCACTGACTTTATATTTTATGCATTTTAAGCGATTGATCGGTTATTGGCCAAATTGGCAAATTAGTATCAGCCACAATTGTAATATCGGTGCATCCCTACTATTAAAGTCTCTTTAGTATGATTTTTGGTTAAACACCAACAAACGGGCCCCTGTTTACTCACTTTTCCACCTCCAGGTAAATGTTTGATATTATCTTTGGAACCACATCTAGACTGCACGCTACTTAAGTCCAACTTCTGATCGAGAATTTGAACCTAAAAGAGTGAACAGTTTGGGGAAGAGAAGGAGTTATCTGTATTTTTTAGCTCGGGACCAGAGAGGAACCCAGAGGAAAGTCTTAGGAAAGGCTTTTTAGACCATGAAAGTGCAGGTGTTTGTGACTTTGAGAGGGAAGATGGAACGGGGTGTTTCCACAAATGGTCATAACTTCAGGAAGAACCAAGACTGAAGGTGTTGAGTTCAACCCATAGTTACTCACATTGCCACCTCCCGGTACATGACTGATATTGTCTTTGGAGCCACATTTTGACTGGACATTACTAAAGTCCAACTTCTGATCCAGTATTTTTACCTGGAAAATCAAGTTGGGAAGAGCAGGAGTTACCTTTCTAATTATCTTAGAGACAGAAAGAACTGCCGGTGAATATGTGAACGATACAGCACAAGCATCAATTCACTAAAATAGCTTTGTTGTCTCCCACTCACTCTTGACTTCGGTTTCAATATTCAACAACTGAATTGTAAAGACCCTCTTTTACTGTTCAATATCAATTCAAAAGTGTGAGTAGTTGGTGACTGTGTAACAGACAGAACTACTACATTGAATGAGAGCGTTCACTTTTTACAAGGTTTCTACAAATGGTCATAACTTCAGGAAGAACCAAGACAGAGGGTGTTGAGTTCATCCCATAGTTACTCACACTGCCACCTCCCGGTACATGTTTCAAATTGTCTTTGGAGCCACAATTTGACTGGACATTACTGAAGTCCACCTTCTGATCGAGAATTTTTACCTGAAAGAGTGCAGAGATCACAAGGAAAAGAAGAGTTACCTTTTTTGGGTGAAGCCAAACCAGAAACCTTCTGATAGAACCTAAAAAGTACTTTTACTTATAACATCTGAAGTCATACAGTAATTTTAACTTCATGAGAAGCATCTGAGGAACATCTCAAGTCAGTAAAGGATGGCTGGAAGTTTGATTAGTCTTGATTTCCATCTATCAGTAGTAAAGTAATGAAAGAATAATGGTACATTTAGGAGTATATAATGTTTTACCCCAACGTAACTTACATTGCCACCTCCAGGTGTGTGTTTGATATTGTCTTTGGAGCCACACTTAGAAGGGACATTACTAACGTCCAACTTCTGATCAAAGATTTTTACCTGTTTAAAACCAATGTTCGGAAGTTTTCAATGAACAAAAATACCAAAATGGTTCCCGGATTCTCATGAAGCATAAAGACATTATAAAGTGCTTTCCCAAAATAGACTTGGAATGGCATATATTTTAGGTTGTATGCACAACTGGATAGTTACCATTCTTGGGAAATGTAACCATTACAATACCTAGAGATAATATATTAGTCAATTCTCACTGTACAGTATAATTCTTAGCTAATATTTGGCAAACAGTGACAGTTTGGTGATAATACTCACATTTCCACCTCCTGGCACATGCCTGAGGTTGCCTTTGGAGCCACACTTGGACTGAATATTACTGAAATCCACCTTCTGATCAAGAATTTGTACCTGTGAAAGGAAGAACATTGGGAGAGTTGACTTAAAAGCTAATTTTAGCGAATTAATTTCGGCTGAAATGACTTGCACAGCCAATCCGATTATACTTCAAAACTTAAGCTGCTGCCATTTAAGTGTTTAGGTTTTTTTATATATATAAATTTTATATATTTTTAAACTGCCAAAATGTTCCACATACTTCAACATAAAAATGTGATTTTAACTGGATCTCAAACGTAACTGCAAACAGAACATTCAAGTGAATCAACTCAAAAGATGAATTACCCGGCCGCCTCCAGGCTGGTGCCTCAAGTTGTCAGTGGAGCCGACTTTGGATCGTATGTTCTTCAGATCAGGGAGGGGGGCAGCGGCCGACAGTGATGTGGGTGAGCGGTTCTTCGGAGATTTAGGGGTCGAGCGAATCACTGCGACCTTCTTGATTTCATTTCCTGTGATTGGAGGCTTGCCACCCGCAGCCTTGCTGGCAGGGGATTTGGGAGTTCCGGGGCTGCTGTGCCCGCTGGTCTCCGGGGTCTTAGGAGAGTCTGGGAAACAGTATAGGGTTATGTACATGGCAATAATCTCATAATCAAATCTTCCATTCTTCAAAAATATATATAAGATTCCTTCCTAAAAACTCCTTTGTGAAAGAAACTCGATTACCTTTTCCATTTTTGGCAGCCGAAGTCATGGCAGGAATCTTTGTACCGGCAGCATGAGGTCTACTGCTACTAGGAGCCTAGAGATACACAGAAATATATAGAGCTGTCATTTTCTCAAATTATGCAAAAGCTGTAAAAATATTATTTAAGGACACAAATGCTATATTTGCCTGAACAAGACAAAGGAGTTTGCCATTTTTATTACAAAAATGTTTCCAGGATATGGATATTCGTCATTTTCACTAAATGACATTGTTAGCATTTCAAAATGGCAATTCTCTAGCAAGACATGTACGCCCACTGTTGAACATTACTGGACAAAAGCACTCATATTTTAAGAAGCATTCATAAAAAAAATAGGAAAATTCATTATTGGCCTAATAGCATGTTTGTCTGCTCAAACATACAGTTTGTTGAAAGCACATTCAGTAATTATGAACCCATCCACTGGAAGCACGATAACAGAGCTGCAGCTGAAGTTATGCAGTACAACCATTCTAATCATGCTGACTATTTTCAGCCGTCAGTGCTGATGCTGTATCCTAAATCAAAATTAACATCAAAGATGTGTGAATGAGATGTTGGTCAGTCAGTTGGAGGAGAGAAAATGTTGCCGTTAATCACAGCAGACAGTGAACAGACTGCCAGTAAAACAGGCGCAAAGTTAAAGCACTCTCCACAGAAGCTACAGGACACGGGGTCCGACACCAGCAGCTGTACTCACTCTTGGCCTGGATTCTTTGGGCCTAGAGCTGGTGGAAGACACTGAGGGAGATCTACTAGAGGAGGTCTTTTTCGGGATGGAGGAAGGTGTTTTATGGGAGGAGGGTCTGACTTTACTGTTTTTAGGGGTCTTTATATAAAGAGCAAAATAATAGATGGAGTACAAATAGCGACAGAAAGCAAAATAAAAGGCAGAAAATACTATAATGAAAGTGGAAGAGAACAGAAAGATTATGCCAAACAGCTATTAGCACTCACCCTCTTCTCAGCATCACCATTGGTCTTGGACTGAGCTGTGAAGGACCAAAAATGCACCAATATGAATACAACCAGTATATCGGAAATAGCATGTGAATAAATGTGTTGTTAAACCTAGTGAGCTGCCTAACCATTACTAAATCACTACTAAACCTCACAAGAGACTAATCTGTAACACTAGAGACTCAACTCACAATCGATTTCAAAGCGGTTTGATGTTAACATGTTCCTAATAAGTAGGGTGACCATACGGGCCATTTTTACGGGATGCACCCTTGCCAGGATTTCTATATTGCCTAAAATATCCAGGTTTTGGCTGTTAGCACTGTGCAGATCGATTGTTGTATGACATTATTTCACGAGAGCTATAGAGAGTAGAGCAGACGGCTCCTTATGCTTTCAAATTGCTCTCGCGGTACTTTGGTGTCATACAATGATCGGTGCGCAGCTTCAAGTCGAACGAACGAACAAACACGTGCGCGTATTTGCATCGCTTTGATCGTTCTCACCTTCTCAAGCGCGACGCGCCACGATTGGTCGATTATGTACAATACCTGCATGTTATTGGTCAAACTACTTTGGATGTTTTAGGCAATATAAAAATCATGGCCAGGACGTGTCCCGTATAAATGGCACATATGGCCACCCTACTAATAAGGCGACACAAATACATAGCACATACAATTACTGAATCAAATGGTTTTCGTTTATAATCAACATTTCTCTCACCTGGCCTGCCATCTTGGATTTAAAAGTTCATCGTAATGCATTTTTATATTGCCTTTTCCATGAAGGATATAAATAACGTTACTTTAGAATTAGAAAGCTTAAATAAAATGTCTACGGTAATGCATATATGCTTCTTTAAAATTCTTCCTCCGTACACTCTTAAAAATAAAGTTTCTTTATTGGCATCTACCAGGGCCGTCCAGGGGGGGCGGGTCACCAGTTGCACCCCCCTAAGGACGGCCCTGGCATCTACAGTTCCATCAAGTACCTTGAAAACGCATGGCATCTTTCCATTCCACAAAAGGTTCTTTATAATGGAAAAAGGTTCTTTATATTTTAAAATGTTCTTCACAGTAAGAAAAAGTGGTTCTTTTTAGAACAGTTGACCGAAAGGTTCTTTGGAGAACCAAAAATAATTCTTCTATGGCATCGCTGCGGAAAAAAAACCCTTTTATAAACAATTTTTAAGAGTGTAGGACCGGAATACCTTTGCTAAATTGACTACAGTAAGTTTGCTACATTTATTCCTGATCCTTTCGCTCATTTTCTTCAATTGCGAATTTTAACAGGATCTTATGTAATTCTATTGTTTTAAAGAAACAATTAGGAAATGTAAGCTGTAAATGAAAGTGAGGGGTCTGTTAAAGCAGCGCTGCACCAGAGGGTGTTATGAACACATGCAAGTAACACATTCATGCACACAGACATGCCAAACTGAATTCATTGACCCACGGCCAGCAAACATAGATTTCATCAATCGGCGCAAAACAGGCTGCAAGACCACCGGAGGGAACAAAAGAATGACAGAGTGAGACTGAGTGCCCAAAAAAGGACGACGTGTAGCAAACAATTGCAGGACAACAGATCGTTCTCCTCAGCACGCCGTTCATTTTGGAGGATGTTCGTTATAGACAGAAAGTGGTGCATAGCTAAGCGGCTCTGTAAAACATAGGTGGAGGCAAACCAAGGAAGAGACACTGCACTGGGATTCTGTGAGCTTATCTGCACAGACCTTTGAACTGAGCCACCGGCACCAGGGATTTTCTTGCCGGGGAGACGTGGACACCTTTTGGAGAGCCAATTGTGCTTGTAGAGGGAGAAGTGGCTTCTGCGATACCGCTGCGATCAACCCCTGATAACGTAGCATCGACTTTCTCCTGCACCTCTACCGTTGCTTCCATGTGTTCATGAGGTAGAGTTTTGGAAACACTATGTTCTTTGGTTTCAGAAGGTGCATATTCAGCGAGAGTCGTCTGAGCCCTGCTGGCCCACGCCGGAAGCGTTTCTTCTTCAACATGGCTCTCGTTGCCGTAAAAAGACAGTTCTTCCTCTTCCTGGAGGGTCTCGCTGTAAGGAGCCCTGGCTTCTGCAGTCCTCTCCCCGACGGATGTCAGGTCTTCCAGGGCAGCGCTGCGGACCAGGAAAGTCATAGGTGGCTCGTTCTCCAGAGACAGGCTCCTGGTGCGGTCTGGACTGACGGCTGTCCGCCGATGATGGGAATGGACCGGTCGTCCAGACCAGCTGCTTCTGAGGAGGTCTTCGTCCTGCTCTAGTATTCGCTGGGGGTCTACACGGCTCCAGTCCGAGTGTTGATCATAACCATCTGATGAAAACCCTGCTGCTAAAGCTGGAAACAAAGCCGCTTTTGCCTGTCACTAATGCACGTCCCATTCACCATGGACAGAGAGTGGACATAAAATTTACAGAAAGCAAAGACAACATCTATATCACTCTTCTCAAGGAAGCTGTCACATGATAAGGAGAGTCACAAAAACACTTGTGGTGACAACCATAGAGGAAAGACAACGGGCATAACAAACTGGTTTGCTGGCCTTTGCTAACATACAAAACAAACAGCTGTGATGGAACCGGACTTCACACTGAACACAGAAATATGAGCTGATAGGTACAATTGAAGAGCAAGATTGCTTGCAAAAAGTGTTTTTTAAAAATCTGACTTAAACATGAAGCATGTTGTTTTTGTGCCATAAACCTTGAGAAAAAAGAAGTACACTTTAGCATACTTTATTTAGTATTTATTATGGAAATGATATCCATTAAAAGTATATCTGTAATGTTTATTTTATGTTATTTACAATTAAATAAAAATATATTATAGTTTAAATTTATATATTAAATGCAAGAGTTCTTCTTGACCCACTAAATTAAATATTATTTCATAATTACTTCTACTGTCTTTGAAATATTGTTACTGACAAGCATTTATGATAACAAAAATATAGGCATATGTCATGTATTTGTGATTGCACTAAACTGCAACTTTTTTTTTTTTTAAATGCAACTTTTTATTGTAATTAAATATTTTACATGCGAGTCAAGACATCAAAATAAGTGTCTCTTTTAAGTATGTCAAAAAATGTACTTTAACACTTTTAATTTGAAATTATTACAAAATGTATTTAAGAGTCTTAAGAAACAATGTCATGAAAGTAGACTTTTTTTATTCTTATTATATAAGTACAGGTTTTTTTTAAATATACTTCAAAGATTTGAAGTACACTATAAGTGCACTTTCAAGTGCGCTTCTTTTTCACAAGGGTAGCAATTAACAAACAAACATGCCTCCCTTCTGCCATTGGCTGGTTAAAACAGAAACAGTTCCACCCCAAACTTAACTGTTTACTAAATAAACACAGCAACAGTGTTTGCACTGTGTTTTCACAACCAATGAATGCTTCTATACTATTTTTTTCTACATATTTAAGAGAAAAATGATTGGAGTCTGCTCTTTAAAAGCACCTAGTTGCTCCTGATTATTAAGATAAAATGGACATACGGTGTCTCTGTGAATTCACAAAACCAAATAACCAGTACAAGATACAGATCAGTGAGGTGAAGTACTACCAGACAAACAGTTAAATTAAAAAGAAAAGAAAAGAAAAAATCTACGAGATCATAATTAATGTTGCATAATGGCTATTCTACAAAGCATGACACTAATATGGTAGTTGTGAAAGAGATAAAAAATAGTACTTTACCTGCAGGTGCTGTTCCTCCAGCTTATTAATGATCAGGATATGTAGCAAACAGAGAGAAAAACATAAAAGACAACATTAGAGAATCACAAAGATGGACTATAAACACTATAACCTAGCGTGAAATCGCACCATCAATATACTACACTTCATTTTGAAATCACAAAAGCAACAAATACTTGCAATTATAAAACGGATAGTTCCGGTCCTTGATTCTGATTGGTTGAGCCAAGTTCGAAGCTGTTGTAAATTACTCTACAAACATACACCTTTGTTTACGTTTGTGTGTTGCTCAGCAACCACTCTGTTGCAACCATAACTGATTCTGGGGAACTACATTGATTGGTGGAAGAATAATGTTTTTATTAATATCATTACACTTTATTTATTGCTTTATTAAAGCATTGTGACCTGTGAGAGAAGGAGCTTTGGCTGAGATTCTTTTTTGGCACAAAGCATTCATTCCAGACTTGGCATAGCATCACATCTACCCTGGCAAAGGCAGCTGAGCTCTCTGAGGTCTTTGTGACTAATCACATGGGAACTAAACTGAGAATGGCGCTGGAGTCTCCCTCGAGTTTGTTTTGATTTAAAAGCCTGAAACCTGTCAGCATGCCTCAGCAGTGATCTCAAAATCAAATTGTGTGCTTGCAGACATACATATTACCTTACACTTTACAAATCACCCCATTGTAAGCGTAACATAAAAAGGATTTCAAAGCAAGAAATGGCAATTTGAAACAACTGCACCCAAGATGGCATTCTTGTTACCAGTAGGCTCAAACAGAAGCAAATGCATCCTGCAGGCTTTAAATATGCAACGAATCAGAAAAAAACGCTGTAGAAAATGAGAAGCATTAGGATGTAAGGCACAAAGGCATCCACATAAATTAAAGCACAAAAGGGCAGTCAAGCAAAGCATGTCAGTCAAAAGAGGCAGCAGTCGATGGAGCAGAAGATCCATACCACTCGCCATTTCCACTAGAGGCTGGCACTGATCCTCTTTCTCTTCCTGTCTTGAATCCTGGGGGCTCTCTATAAAACAGTCATTTGAACGGTTTACACACCAAGCTACTAAAGGAATTCCAGGTTTACTTGTGAAAGTGAAGCTGCTGCTAAAGTCAAAAAGCAAGCCAGAAATGAAAGGTTTAGCTTCACAGCTCAGCTGCAGTGAGACTTTAGTTGGGTTCCAAAGTGCTCTGCTGAAAGAAAAGAACTGGATGGTAAACTCACACGAGCACTATGACAAAATAAATTAAAAAGGAGAAAAGCGCATTGCAAACAACCAGAAATGATGGCAGCCTGGTCTTGAAACGCTGTATATTTATCAAGGCATAGTTAGTAAAAGCCATTACATTACATAAAAATAAATACTTAAAAAAAAAAACTTGGTTAACTTTGTGCTTAATAAAAAAAGGCAATTTGAAAGGGAAAGGGAAGACAAAATGCATTTCAAAGCATCTTTATTATAAGTGCAGCAATGCATACCACATTGCTTCTCCTCAGCAGAGGAGGTGCCTTCAGCATTACTGTGCTCATCATCCACCCGTTCTTCTGAAAACTCCTCTGTGAGAGAGAATGGTGGTTAAAAAACACATAAGGCACAACTAATGTGGAGTTATCAGTTGTTCGGGAAAATCAGTATTCATAGAGACATGTTTAAAATCTGTTAAGGTTTTTCAATTTGACAGTATTCGTCTTAATTGGCAAAAACAACAAGTTTACACAGGTAACAAGACATTTTTTGTTTTGGTTTGTAAAACAATAATAAAAACAAAATTTTTAATTTAATTTAATTATTTTGAAAAGTATTACGTTTTTCAAGAAATTAATGTCAAACAGCTGGAGCAATCAGTCACACTGTACTGTGACCTCTATGCGACCTCAGTATTTCCCTGCAACCGGGTCTCTGAACTTGGTAGGGGAAAAAAAGTAATTAATTCAGTTGTTGTAAGGACACCTGTAAATTTAAAAACACACTGCTAATTTTACTGTCCAATAAAATATAAGAGGAGAAACAGAGGCCATTTGAATGTACTGGCATAAAAGCAACAACCTGCAGTGTTGAAAAGTAACTGCTTATTGAACTAACAAGAAACATTGTACAAAACATCCAAAATACATTTTGCCCATTCAGCTTTACAAAAAAAACACAGTATAAATCAGAGGTGCGGAACCTTTTACTATGGGTGCTGTGGGCCAAAAGTAAAAGCTGCGTTACATCCAACTATTTCATAATAAAATGTACAGTGTAAACATGAAGATATGAATTAGAAATGAAGATATGATTAATTGGCATGGCGGGCCAAATTAAAGGTCATCATGGGTCAGCACTGGCCTGCAGGCCCTGGTTTGGGCTTCTCTGGTTTTCAAAAATACATACTTCAAAAAGTAGACTGCATTAAACACTGAATCACATGCACCTCCTCAAAACTAGGGGCATTCTGCTTTGCTAAATGTTACTGTTTGAGTCTATTGCATTTTTGTTGGTGTAATCATACTATTCTTATTTCTTTGACAATGTAGTATGCGCAAGTAAGTCCATTTTGATATTATTTAAGCAGACTTCTAGAAGTTAAACATTTTTACACAAAACTGAATTAACTGCTAAAAAAATCCAGGATGATAGCTGATGACAAAGGGATCATATGGATCACAATAAAAAAATTTTTTTTAAATGTGCAATACTTTGAATTCTGAAAAAAACAAGCAAAACATGTCAACAAGTTTAAAAACACCAGTAAAATTTTTTTTACACTATAGTTCCTTTCCAGATGAAACAAAAGGGGGTTTCACACATACAACCCTTTCTGGAAAATCACCTGTAAATGACCACTTAAGAGATCATGTATGAACAGGACCTTTTGAGAAATACTGTTAAATTCGATCTAGAAATTTCCTGAATGAAAAGTTGTAACTTTGCTGGTAAAATTGCCATTCTGATGGAAATGATGCAATTACTCTGCACTGTGTACAATAAAGGCTGGTTCACACAAAACGCTAGTCTATTGCATTTTTGTTGGTGTAAGCATACTATTCTTATTTCTTTGACAATGTAGTATGCGCAAGTAAGTCCATTTTGATATTATTTAAGCAGACTTCTAGAAGTTAAAACATTTTTACACAAAACTGAATTAACTGCTAAAAAAATCCAGGATGATAGCTGATGACAAAGGGATCATATGGATCACAATAAAAAAATTTTTTTTAAATGTGCAATACTTTGAATTCTGAAAAAAACAAGCAAAACATGTCAACAAGTTTAAAAACACCAGTAAAATTTTTTTTACACTATAGTTCCTTTCCAGATGAAACAAAAGGGGGTTTCACACATACAACCCTTTCTGGAAAATCACCTGTAAATGACCACTTAAGAGATCATGTATGAACAGGACCTTTTGAGAAATACTGTTAAATTCGATCTAGAAATTTCCTGAATGAAAAGTTGTAACTTTGCTGGTAAAATTGCCATTCTGATGGAAATGATGCAATTACTCTGCACTGTGTACAATAAAGGCTGGTTCACACAAAACGCTTTTTTTTTGTTCCACTGCGCTGCTTTTAATTGTTTTTCTATGTAAACAAGCACTAGATGGACATCTTTGACCATTGCACCACATCTCACTGGTTTTTCAGCATCTTGCTCATGAACGTTGAGTCATTTAGGGTTTTAGTCACTTGGAAGTAAAAAAATACTGCCAAATAGTGAAACTACTTCCTACTCATCGTGTGAATGGTATCTTAATGGTATGTTAAGCGTTTGATTGTGTGAAAGCAGCTGTTTAATACTGTGCTTCTAGAGCCACTACTAGCTTTACTATCTCTAACATACTCACTCTCTGCTGTGCCATTGCAGTATCTGCCATTTATTGGTGGCAGATGCTCTGAGTAGTGTTTCCTCCTTGTGTGTGGCATTACAGGAAGAGCAAAAGGGGAGAAAGTGTGCACTAGTGAAGGCTGTAAACTAGGGAAATATAAGCCACGCGCTAAAGAATGCAGGGGGTCAGAGAGGAAAAAGAGAGAGTGTTATGGTCCCATTTATGGCATGTGAATACATACAACACAACGGAAGACTCTGTGGCAAGCTGGCACCTTCACAAAAGACTGTCAGTCAATACCGCCACTGTGTTTGTTCCTTCCTTCCATACACATGCTTGGAGTTCAGCGATTGGCTGTGGTTTTAAATAAGTGACTACATTTACAAAACGTTCTCCAAAAAAAAAAAAAAAAAGACAGATTTTCCGAGAACTATATTGCAATATCATTCGTTTAAAGGAATAGTTCACCCAAAAATAAAAAATATTGTCTGAAAATCCCTCAGGTCCATTGTGGGTCACCCTCAGGTCATCTCAGTTTATTCACTTGCTCACCAATGGATCCTCTGCAGTGAATGGGTGCCGTCAGAATGAGAGTCCAAACAGCTGATAAAAACATCACAATAATCCACAAGTAATCCACACCACTCCAGTCTATCAATTAACATCCTGTGAAATGAAAAGCTGCACGTTTGTGAAAAACAAATCCAGCATTAATGCATTTTTACTGTTGTTTCTGCAACAATACCCATAATCAATAATAATGCTTCCTCCAGTGACCAAGTCTATCCCCTGTTGTCTTCTCACATCAAAATCCATCCACATGTTTGTTTAGAGCTGTTTTGGCTTGTAAACGGTGCTTGATCTGTGCATATTTCTCTCCTGATTCAGACAAGATTTTTTTCCCTGGAGAAAGCAACATTATGGATAGAGTGGTGTGGATTACTTGTGGATTATTGTGATGTTTTTATCAGCTGTTTGGACTCTCATTCTGACGGCACCCATTCACTGCAGAGGATCCATTAGTGAGCAAGTGATGTAATGCTAAATTTCCCCAAATCTGTTCTGATGAAGAAACAAACTCATCTACATCTTGGATGGCATGAAGGTGAGTATAGCAATTTTTTTTATTTTGGGGTGAACTATTGCTTTAAGAAACTATAATCTAGTTTTGATTACACTATATGCTAGAACGACTGAAGCAATCACAGTAAAGAATGCCAGATGAAGTCAAGAGTTACTGAATAAGACAACTGTTTATACTTTTGGTGGAGCAGTGAATGAAGGGTTTTCAAATTCGCTCAATGTCCATCGATTGTGCATACCTTCCCCTTTGTACACTGTTGCCTTACATTTTCTGTAACCCAACTGAGAACCAATTTCATTACTGTGTGCTTTTCAAAAGGCTAATGGTCTGCAAAAAAAACAACAACAAAAAACACAAAACCTCACACACATGCAGAAGAAAGCAGGGTGTGTAATGGCATTGAATTAGTACCAACGTCCTGAGAGGAGGGTGACCCACATGCCTGGATTACAGCGCGACGCAGCTGCAAAGCCTGGATTGAGGGCCCAGTCAAGCATAGCCTTGTGGTTTATGTAAAGGAATTAAAACACAAGGCTGTATCAAAGAGCTGCTGCCACTGCGGCCACCTTCATCACTAAAATATGTATAAAGATCATACGCCTTGCAATGTCTTTGATCATTTGATACGTTTAATTTGCTCATGACGGGAGGAAACACACGTTAGCGGTCATGCTAATTGATGCTCAGAGGGATAACACATATGCGTGTATGCCGTATCACGGTGAATTCATGTGCTAATGAAGTCATTAATATAATCTCATTATTTAGTAGGCACATGTGCAAATGTTTCTCTGGTGTATTATACAGAACAGCATTGTCTGATAATATCGTCCTCTGGCAGCCAAGATATATCTGATTTTGCCTGTCATAACATTGCCCTTGTAATATTTAATAGTGTGCACTACATGTAAATAGATACTATTTATGATTATTTCATCCTTATTGGCTGTGGATCTTTTACACACTCTAAGAACAAATATTTTGGCTCAACAACACTGAAAAATAACGCAATAGTTTGCACCAATCTTTTTGAGTTATGACAACTTTCAACCCGATCTCACGGCAATTCGTACATTTTTTGACAAGGTGGCTAATTCGTAAGAATTCCTACAACCTCACTCTTATGAAAAATCATACGTATTTTACGAGGTGGTAAATTCATACACCTTACCCTGCCCCTAAACTTAACCGTCACAGAAATCGTATGAGTGAGGTCGTGCAAATTTGTACGAATTAGCCACCTCAACCAACAAACTACATTGTACAACTACAATGAATTGTAGCATAAACTAGCACCATAAACATTTTAAGTAATCAACTTCAACAATTTTGTAAGTTGTTCCAACAAATTTAAGCATAATTGAGTGGTGGCCATGGAACCAACTAATCTTATCTATTTAAATTAAAATTAACAGCTAACACATCACAAGCTAACTTTTGCAAAAAATGTTAAATATTTGAGCTCATATGGCTCATACGTAGCCTTTCACAACTTAAACGAAAGCACAACTTTTCAGCATAATGGTAACAACAAAAACGTCATAACAGAAACTCTTTTAAATGTCAAACATTCAAACACATCAGCAATACACAATAACAGGTCTTTCCATTCACTAAAAAAACACATAAAATACCAATTCAACATTTATTCTTCTTATCGAGTTCTATGCAAAGCATGATGAAAACTAGAAATCTACTGCCCAATTCTCAAAGCTATCGAGGCAATTTCATCAAGTTACTAAAAAAATTTAAAAAATTTTTTTTAAAAGGTTGAATTAAATAAATAAATGCATGTTTGAAAGTTACGATTTTAATTTATTTAAAGGGACAGTTCACCCAAAAATGAAAATTTTGTCATCATTTACTCTTATATTGTTTCAAACCTGTGTGGGTTTCTTTCTTATTTCAAATACAAAAGAGATTTTGAATTTTGAAGAATCAAACAGTTAATGGTCCTCATTGACTTCCCTAGTAGAAATACTATGGAAGTCAATGGGGACCATAAACTGTTTGATTACCAGCACTCTTCAAAATACCTTCATTTATGTTCAACATAAAGAAACTCATACAGGTTTGGAACAACACGAGGGTGAGTAAACGATGAAAAAAAAATTATTTTTGGGTGAACTATTCCTTTAAGTTGTGGTAGAAGGTCCGCTGCATTTGTAGACCATATTCCATATCAGTATGTAAACTTGTCCTTCAACTACATGTGAATGCTGTCATGAAACACACACACCCTGTTCACACTGCAGAGCTTGTTTAATAGTTCTGACTAATCAGTTAATCAGTATGTGTGTGTATTTATTTGGACTGGCTGTGACACAACCAACCTGTTTTCCTACAGAAGCGAGCTCACCTTTCATTGGACAGTCCCCTGGTCTCACGAGCCCCACCGCAATTCCATTCTCCTTATGGAATTGGTTTCCATGGTGATGATCATTGATGGTCATTCCAGAAAGGGAGGTTGCCATGGTATCGCCAGAGTTGTTGTGAGCTGTGTGGCTATTGGGCGAGGAACTGAATAAATCGTGCTGCTGGTCCATAGCAAGTCCAAATGAGGATACTGAAGGGGGAGGGGAGGACGGAGGGTAAAGGTAAGAGAGAAAAGAGCGAGAAGGGTGTAAAAAGAAAGAAAGAAGGGAAAATAAAAGGAATAAGTTAGTGGATGTACAAGAGAAAAGCAGTTCAAAAAGCTTTTGCCTGGGACTGATTGTTTTGCTCTGATTCCTTGTGCCAAAATTATGGTGGACCAGTAGTGCACAACACAACAAAATTTCCACAACATAACGAAATCGCCACAGTACAACAGAAATAAGCCGGAACACAACAAAATTAGCTAAACACAATGAAATTAGCACAATACAATGGAAACAAGTCGCAACACAAAGGAAACAAGCTATAACACAATGGAAACAAGCTACAACACAACGGAAACAAGTCAAGCCACAGCACAACGGAAACAAGTCACAACACAATGAAATTAGCACAACACAACGGAAATAAGCTGCAACACAATGGAAACAAGTCGCAACACAACGAAATTAGTCCTATGTGTTGTGATGTGACGATTTTGTTGTGTTGTGGAGATTTTGTTGTGTTGTGCACTACTAGGCCACCGTTCAAAATGGCTTTTCAGTGCTGACAGAAGAAAAAATTCCGTGAAAAAATTCAGTTTGAAAATCCATAATCCATTATCAGAAACCTCAGAAACAACTGTCAAACCAACCATATGACTTCGGTGAGTCAACAGTAGAGGTGTCTATCAACTTTTCGAAGGACAGTGTGGGTTGAATCAATATCCAATCGGCAGGATCCGTCTCTTCACACAGGGCTGTCACAAGCTCAATGTAAACAGAGCCAGAGTGCCGGTGTGAACCTGGATATTTATACTGCCAAACATGCCGGTCTAGCTTAAGGTTACTGCCATGCGGCCTAAAATAGTGCAGTCAAGCCAACATGTCCCTATGCACCTCCTGCAAGCCTTTCTGTAGTCACTTTATTAAACCATTGTATCGCACAACGTAACACAGTGCACTTGCAAAACTGCTTTGGTATGTTCTTATTTGCAAGATGAAAGACTCACGCCTTATATGACGACAGAATGTAATTAACAATCGAATTGTCAAATTACAGAAAACATCCTTTTTTCCACTGACCGCAATAGTTTGGACACTCCCGCTTTAGAGCTATGAGGTGTTAGAAATTCAAATATTCGCTCATGACTACATAATCATTTTGTAATACTATAATCGCTAATATTGAAAATCCATCTTGTTAGTGGTACTTGTTATTAGGATATTTAGTTAGCTACCCAGCCCAAAGCAGATTATACATGTTGGATATTTCACAGCCATCCTGATGCACTATTCATCCTACATGCAAACACACACTCATTACACAGCGCCCAGCCCTCCAGACATCCTGACAGCTCATTCTGACGTGTGTGCTTGTAGCACTTAGAAACAGTGTTTTTTTTTCTAGAGCAATGGGGATGACTTTTCAACACACACACAAAAATACAGTAAAAACGGTAATATTGTGAAATATTATTACAATTTAAAATAACAGCTTTCTATTTTAATATACTTTAAAATATCATTTATTTCTGTGATGCAAAGCTGAATTTTCATCAGCCATTACTCTAGTCTTCAATGTCACATGATCCTTCAGAAATCATTTTAATATGCTGATTTATTATTCATGTTTGGAACAGTTGTGCTGCTTAATATGTTTTTATAAACAGTGATACTTTTTTCAAGATTCTTTGATTAATAAAAAGTTTTAAAAAACGGCATTTATTCAAAACAGATTTTTTTTTTTTTTTTTTACAATGTAAGTCTTTACTATCACTTTTTCATTAATTTAACATATTCTTGCTGAATAAAAGCATGAATTTCTTTCAAAAAAAAAAAAATGACGAGGGTGAGTAAATGATGACAGAACTTTCATTTTTGGGTGAACTATCTATCCCTTTAAATTTTTCATGAGCTAAGTACAGTCGCAGAAAGTTTCATGCATTATTTAGTTTCATCATCTGAGGTTTCAGAAGTGTCAACCATTGATGGCAAACATAGATTGGAGTAATGAGCAGCATATTATAGTAGATCTACATGATTTAGAGAGGGAATAAGTAAGCCTAAGACTGCTGCATTACCAGCATCTTCACTGCTACTATAGTGTGACTATACAAAACACAGCTGTTGATGTAACCCATTAGCATTTATTGAATACTTTCCCAGTTATATCAACAAATTGCTCTTCTCTTTCATCTTCTTATGGCTTTCCCTGCTCTGCTTTACTAAAACCCACAGCCAAAAGAAAGAAAAAACCTGTCTGGAATGGATTCTCCAGGTCATTGCATTGGGCAGTGGGAAAAATCTCACCTGTTTTATGTGCATCTGGCACACAAGCTGTCTGGAACACAGAATTTGCACAAGGATTCAGGATCTTTGCTCTCTCACCTTTGCTCAAAGCTTTCTGTACACTGGGAATGTGATGACTGCTCAAGATTGTCCAAACAACATCTTGTTCTTCAATGGAAGCAAGAACATCAAGAACTCCTTTGTACAAATTTGCTCATTTGATTAGTGACCTAAATAGTGCAGAATCTCAATCTGTTTATTATTTATGCCATAACTTTCCAAATGCAAATTTAATTTTTGAATCCCTTATGTTCAACATTACATTTGGACCACACTGTATGTCCAATGAGTTTGAGTTAAAAGACCTATTAAAAATGTCCTGACTCGACCTAGTTTCGTAACACCACATGCCTCCAAGGGCAGTTGAAGAGCACCATCTAACCAGGCACTAACATCTGTTGTCTTTTGTGTGGCGGTGCCTCATTCTGAGTGTTAAAGCATAAAAAACGTGCACAGTTGGCTCTCTAATGTGTGTGTGTGTGTGTGTTCAAGGAACAAGAATGATGAACCTGGCACTGCTCGTGGCCCTTCTGCAAACCCACATAAACAGGGTGATTTAGAGGGTGTGTGCGGCTAGAGAAAGCACAAGATCAACATAGATGTTTGCACAGCACCTGCGATACTATGCAAAGACATATTCACCACACAGTACACACATAAAGCCATCCGAAGTGTCAGTAACTGAATGCAGGAATTCAAATGAATCTCTTTTCGCAAAGCAGAGGTGTTGCCAGGACACAAGATCAGATCGCAGTTGTCTTTCCTTCTTTATTGCCTTTGAGTTGCTAATGGACAACATGTGGCAATAAGTAAGGTGTTCTTCATTTTAAAATGAGGCAATCGGTGGTGGAATACTTACCTACACTTAAAAAAAACTTTAACTAAAGCTTATTATTGAATAATTGTGCAGTTTACACTTCACAAATGAAACAGAATTCATTATTCCACACAGTGTTGTCACATGACATCATCAAATTGCATGTGAATGGTGTACAGCTAAAGGGATAGTTCACCCAAAAATGAAAATTCTGTCATTAATTACTCGCCCTAATGTTGTTCCAAACCCATAAAATGTTTGTTTATCTTCGGAACACAATTTAAGATATTTTTGATGAAATCCAAAAGCTTTCTGATTTTCTGACAAAAATAACGACTTTATTCGACAACTTCTCTTCCATGTCAGTCTTTGATGCGCATTCCTTTGATGCGCTGTGCCTTGTTTGCAAGAGGAGGAATGCACACATATGCATCGTCATGTATGTCAAAATATTCGTCGAATTAAAAATAAAAATCCACATTCGAATGCAACGTTTTTGCATTCGAATGTGGATTTTTATTTTAAATTCGACGAAAATTTGAAATTTTAGGTGTGCGTTAAGGAGGCAGCCTTATCAGTGAGAACATCAATGCGGAGATCTTGTTTACGTCAAAACTGAAACCAAGCCATTCACACAGAACGCATATTTCGCGCATTTTCTAGAGGGACATCTATCACCGTTGCACTCTTGTCTCGCACAAAAGAAGCTGCATGTTTAGAAAGCCATGTAAAATTAATGCAACTTTGAAAAAACGTATCTTGAGACTTTATGGCGTTTTTTTCCCCCCATCCCACTGCAACTCGTGTAACAGTTGTAAAATATTCAATGTTTGGCTACTTGCATCTTACCTCACATTTTTAAAAACTGAAGCAAACTGAAGCAGTGAATTCATGTTTGGTACAGCACAGCCTTCTTTGTTTTGATTGGACATCTAGATTATGTTGACATTGACATAAGTACTGTTAGTCAGATGAGGCAGACCATCCTAAAAATGTCTAAATCTTGTCTAAAATCTAAAAAAAATTGTCATCCTAACAATAAACAGAGCAGCATCACATCTATCAAATATCGAAGAGGATAAGCTGGTCATTTCTAATTATTTTCTATGATTGTTACGGGCTGCACTGAGGTCCAGTAGACAGACAACCTGCTCAACTTCTAATAAAAAATAAATAAATTGCTGTGTGTGTTTGTGTGTGTATATAGCAACTCAACAGGTATTATTTGTTATGCAACCAACCAGGCAAATCTCTAATCAGCAGATCTGACCATGTCAAAAACTGCTTGGTTGGATTTAGCGATAAATCCATGGATGGCACCAGGATGTATCTCCTTAGGGTTTATTTGCTTGTTTATCTGGCACCAAACTGAAAAACCGCGCTCTCCACTGGCACGCACTGGGCTTGTGCTTTAGAATAGCTGAATGTCTGTGATGCTCTCATCACGGACGACTACCCTTGTATCCCTGACCTAAATTTGCTCCACATTGCTATGAAGCACAGTTACTCATGTTCTCTCTCGGCTCTCGATCCCAACCTCCTTTTGGGCAGGGCCAGTCATGTTCGAATTCAAACACAGTCCCATAACAGGGTCACAAAAACGACTCTTCAATATGAAATCCACCAGATCATAATTGCATAAGATCCTAGCAGTCTATGTAGAGCCCAATATTGGATTAGATGTCAAGAATACAGACTGTAAATCTGATGCCACAAAATGCATTCTGAGTGCTGTGATGACATAAGCAACTTCTATTATTTCAGTAGCATGTGAAATGATTCTTATGATGAGTCACTCCCTTATGAACTGGGTGTAAAATGATTCCACTGTACTGTGGTGGAAAGACAAATATTCATTTCAGAAAATTATATAGGCCTATGTTAAATCTGTAATTTGTCTTTTACTACTGCAGCCCAGCCCATCAAGTAATAAATATTTTATTATAAAAAAAATAATGTAATATTCATATATGTATTAATATTTGGACAATTATACAACCAGTATAAAAATATATAATAGTCCAGCTCTAATATAAATGCTAAATGTGATTATACGGCATATTACAAACATTAACATTGTGCTGATTTAAGATAATAATTTGTATGGTGAACAGCACTATACCAATACATTTTGTCTTGACTTTATAGAATTTAGAAATGTATTGAAAATAAATTTATGTAAAAAATATATAAGAAATATTCAGATGGAAGCTCATAAAATGCTCTTGTCATGCAGTATAAGATGGATCATGGGGTTTTGCACCAACTTGTGGAATTCATGCAGCTTGAGTGCTGCTTTCTTTAAAGTAAAAAGAGGACAAACCAAATACTGAATTCTGAAATCACTATTAATTTTTCAATTCATCTATATACTTATGACTATATAATTTGTAATAATTTGGAATCATTAAATTACTAATAAAATCTCAGTCTCAAGCTTTTGTAGCCCACTTTACATATGCTTCAGTTCATGGATAACAGCATTCCAGAACAGTCATGCTTAAATTCTCAGGGCAAAGGACCATGTGGATGCATGTAGACATGGAATTCTGCTCATCACGCTTCTGTCAGAGAGGTAATGGC